CCAAGCTTTAAACAAGAACAGTGTTAAATATCAGATTCAAAGGCTTCTTGAACGCATTTCACACCTCCAAGTGAGTTATCTTACCTTCTGCATCATTGTTATTATAGTAAATAGGCACAAGAAGGTGACATATAAAATCATATATGGATGGCTAAGGAAAGAAAACAGTGCCTACAGAGATGTTCATGGTAAAGATTTAAGTTCTCTAGAAAAGGAGTGATGTACAGAAATTAACTCTCTGATTAGTGACATGTATTATTCCCTCAACCAACAACTGTATTTTCCCTGAATCAACAGTTCAAGCTTAATGGGGAAGGGGATGGAGGAAGAAAAACTCGACCGTTAAGTTCGTAGAATCATTATTATTATGAAAATGACTATTTTTAGTACATAGGGCTAATATAGAACATATATACATATATGCATAGATAAATATCTATGCATATATACATATATACATATATATACACATATACATATATACATAGAACTCACTAACAGATACAACTTTCAAATCTTCTCTTTAAAAAGATTTTATACAGGGTTTGATATTTTCTGAATGAATGGGAATTTGAAACAGATGGTGTGAAGGATAGTTCCTCAACATGAGGAAATGATGTGGTATTACCTCTACCAGTGTTCCATATCTGAGCCAATCACTATACAACTGTGTCGTTAAACATTAAAACCAACAAAAATATGCTACCTTATTGTGCCGATTGTGACACTAGTGCAAACGACACTGAAAAATCAAAGGATTCTCAATTTTGAAGCTATTCTGCTTTCCGATTCAAGAACAGGGATATCTGTGGGAAAACACATGACTTGTGATAGGGGTTATAATAAGGAATGATAATAATAATTTGTTAAGTGTACTAAGGAACTGCATGGATAATGTGATCGCAAAACAAGCACTTCCGTGCATGCACATCCCTATGGGAGTGACAATCCACTACTTTGAGTTTTGTGTCAAGACCACAATTCAGAAAAGTAAAATTAAGTAAAATAAAGACTTTTGAATCAGCAGTGTGAAGAGCTCTGTGGGAAGGAATGAGATGAGGGCAACTTTGCTGGTAGAAGCAAGAGCATAAAGGAGCAGAGGTTGTGGCTGAACCAATTTACGAAGCTGTACCCTGGATTTAGGGGTGGTATTAGTTGATTTTCTCATTAATACTTACTTACTGCTGGACTTTGTCAAACAAACACCTGTAATCATCTCTGTAATCATCAGATGATGATACGAAAGCCTTCACTCTATTCAATGCACAGCACACTGCATTATCAATTCTAGTCATTTTTGAATGTGTTAAAAATCCAGTGGTTCTTCCACTGTGACACAGGCAGGTTTTCTAGTCCGTCAGACCTTGAACAGTAGAACTTCTTGTTAGTTACAACAATAATATGTGACTTTTGTAATATACGTATATTAACATACATATATTAAAATATACGTATATTAAAATATATACTATATATATTTGCCTCCTTTATCTTAGATTATTACTATCATCACATATGCTTTGTAAGGGATATGTGAACGGAACTTAATCCAATAACCATTAAGTATGATTAAAAAATATCATCTGCAGTTAGATGCAGTTGTATAAACATCCATATGTTAACTCTGCAAATCTATAGCTCGTTCCTTGGGAGTTATAGTAATGCACGCACGCCACTTCCTTCATCAGTGAAAAGCACTTTGAGTTTTGTCATTTAATTCAGTCTCATAGACTAAACAATACACAATTGTTCTCTGTAGTGAAGAAGCTTTGAATTACTATATTCAGATCCCAAAGCACAGAGTTTGCTTTCAGTCACAGAAGAGTCTCAGGATAATGCTGCAGATGTTCTTAGAAAATGCTGGGTAACAGTGTAGACTGTGTCTGTAATGTCCCAGCCAAACTCTGTTCTCATTTACATGCATATGTGCACTTGCAAAGAACAACAGGGCAGTATTTTCACAAGTGAATTTCAACATCACATTGTTTTCAGATGGATAAAATGTTCAGTAGTTTCTCTGAAGGGTGCATGTTGCCTGTCAGCTGAAGGAAGAAGTTACCCTACAGAAATACCTTGCCTTTTTCTATAAGCTATTTATTTAGTAAGCATTCCAGGATGTAATCTCAACTTTATGGTAGTTGTGATACAAATAATTCCAGTTGCATAATCCTAACTTAAATTTTGTTGGTCTGTTTAAATGCAGTAGTACGATGATACATTCTTACAGCCTTTACTTCTAGATTCAATGCAACGCACTGAAATCTGCAACACTGTTGAAAACAAAGTTCTTGTCAAATGTTCTTCAGGATGACTGTGTACATAATTTCATACCTAGAACATCAGAGGCCATGCGTAACCTCATCTTTACATAGAAACATGAAGGCGAAATGGAGCTGATACAGAAGAAACATTTTGAAGCTGTCGTTTGCAGGCATGTTTTAAAGGTATCTTCTGCACCTCCAGAACAGGTCTTGATAAAGGTTACTTTATCAAAAATGAGATCAACTGAGCTATTGAACAAATTTGGTTGAAAATACCTATACTTTTTTTATGTGCTTAGCATCATCAGCAATGGGCAACCATGAAGTGCAGTATGTTGATCAAGGAGAGAACTAGTGGCAAGTTTTCTTGATAAAGAATAAATACAGATAAAACACTTTTTTTCTTCTGAAAATACGTATTTGACTGAATTATGTTTTGCAGAAAGCTGCTGCTTTCAGTGCAATATAACTGTCAAAACTAAATCTCAATTGGGTTGAGATCTAAAACTTTTCAAGTGAGTTCACATGGATTCCTATATCCACCTGTGCAACCTGATTGTCTCAAGAGAAGACAGTCTTCTTACAGTTTGGGTTCCTATTCAGGCCAGGCTTTTCTTGCATGAGAGGCACGCCTTCCTACAATAACCAGCCTCCCCAGATATTCCAAAGCCTACCATACATTCCAGGAATATGTTTTTCTGGAAGGCTGGTTTGAGAAGGGATACTATAGGGACTTTATGAACAAAGTTTCAAGAGGTACCTCAGTGGCTCAGATGGCTAAATATTGTGGTCTACCTGAATCAATATTAGATGCTTCATTTCTGATTGGCATCAATGAGTGAAGTTTTTCAAATGACAACCACTGAAGCATCACACACAAGGGCATTCCAGCATGTCTGAAACAGATATCTTCTTAAAAAAAGGAGAAGGGAAACGGAGGTTCCCAAACATTGCAAAAGCCATTTCTGAATTACCTTTATCCTTAATGTAAGTAAGTCCAGGAGACAGCGAGTTAAAATAATTTGACAGACCTAATGCTCTCTTTCCTCTGACAGTAATGGCTCCTTAGGGTAACGAGGTGATGTTTACTAATATCAACTAACCATGTTACTAATGTTGTTGACTTCAAGGTTGAAGATTAAAACCTTTGAAAGTGTATTCTTTTGTGAGAAACATACCCATTCTTTACCAAATAAAATGTTTCAATACATGGTGTGCCCAGGCTGCTAAAACTTTTGCCAGTGTGGGGTTCCAGCAATGTTAGTGGAAACTTGCTTTTTTTTTTTTAAGCAAGCCACAACTTTGCCCAAAACTCTTCACCCAGGAGGGGCTGATGCAGTGTAAATGAAAATATTTCTACTTCATCTGGTGACGACTTGAGCAGAATCATAAGGATCTAGACTATTTAGATACGTAGATTTGCCTAACTGCTTTTATGTCTGTAGTTTCCATATCGGTTAAAGAGGAATAACACCAAATATATTGTACAAATAGGAAACTATTTACCTGTTATATACAGGCAATATTCTTTTCCTTTTAACAGTTATTGAGAATTATACTTAACCATAGTGGCGTATTGTACAGCAGTCAGTCTGTGTCTAGCCTCTGTTCATCATCATTAAAGTAAATGTTTTACCTTCTATATATTATTGGTAATGGAGACTGTAATACATGCATCAGTATTTAGGAAGTTTCTGCAGTGTCGACTTTTCATCCCAATGCATTTTAGAAGTGGATTTATCTATAATAAATCTATGAAACAAATGCATGCAGAAACACATTTCTGAATTTATTACTTCATTAAGTTAAGCTTCAGTAAGGTTGCTGAGGTAAAGCTAATATCAGGGCATGCTGTATTGTACAGGCTTTCTAGATTTTTCTAAGCAATAGATATAAATCACAGAAACATTCCTTGCTGTGTTGTGAAGGCTTATGGGTAATTACCAGTGTGACCATTCTCCCAAACTCCAGCGTTTTAGGATTACTTCTATATTTCATTTTTCAGCACTAAAAATCTTTTAGCAGCAACAAAAAAGTTGAATCCAAAGAAAAGTCTAACAGCCCATAAAAAGAAATTTTTTTTTTTTTGGTGAAGCAGTCATATTTACTTATGATTTCTCATTTTTAAATAGGCCTTTTTCATTACTAAACATTACAGAGATGGGCCCAGGCTGCAAGCTCTGTAACGTCCAGGGACCTCCTCACAGGCTTGTGAATTGGGGTCCAAATATACGAAGAAACTCCTAAATCCTAGTTAGAAACCTTCCTTGTACTACAATCCTACCCAAAACTGACACACTTCTATGTCGTTGTCCTGGACCCAAGTTCTTAATTTTTAAAAGCAGATAGTGCCTTGAGGAGAAAGCTTCCTTTCTTCAGATTTGTCAACTAGTTAATGCAATTGTGTGGAAGTAGCCTTGCTTTTCCAGCCTCTTTGGTCCAGTTTTAAGGTGCTGAAGTAACTTACTTAAGAGCCTAATTAATTAATTTAAAATCCTTCGAACTGTTTCTAAAAGTCAATCAGGCTTTAAGGAGTTTAATTGAACACTGGCAGATCCGATCCCCCTGCTTGTGGCACCTAACCAAGGCAATGGAATCAGTATCTGTGGTTGTTCTAGACACCTTATATTTGCAATGGGGAGAAGCAAGAACCCCTCAAATGTGACTGTACCCCCATCTAAAGGAGAATATTTTAAAGTCCTTTTTTAAGACTTCTGTAAGATTCCAGTTTCTGTAGTCTTACAGCATCACACGATAAACCCAGTTCAAGTTTTAAATATTGTCTGGAAACATGTTTGACAGCTACTTAAAGAATTCAGCACATTGCTAGAGGTTATCTGCATTTCTATTGCTAGAGCTGTTTAAGGAGCAATTAATCAGGGTTTTTTTTTTCTGTTTGTGTGCTGCTAAACACCCATCATAATATGTAGTTGCATTTTCAAGATCAAGATTAGAACTATTCAAGGATACCCTATTTATCTTTCTGTCCTTGGAGACAAAGTTATCAAAAGTTATGGATGTCTGTGAATTATCAAAAGAAAAATGCCTGTAATGAAAGTTACAGAAAAGACACGTAATGAGTAAGGAAAAGTAATCTAAATTCAAGAGAATGAAACTGCATTCCATAATGAAAGATGCTGTCATATTATAGGACAATTCCTTAAGTCATCTAATGTCAATATATTCTCATTGCAACAGAGTGATCTGAATTTGTGCAGAAGTGGAAAATACTGAAGAACTGCGCAACTGTGGTGATTCATCATGTTGCTTTTTAGATGAAGACATACTTCAGAGCTTTGAGTAGAACTGATGGTTCTCTGTGCATCTTTCAGTGAGTTTTTTGGATAGGCTAATTACAAATGTAACAATTTTAAGATCTGTTCCCTTCCAAAAAAAAAAGTGTGTTTTTTTTTTACTACAAACTGCTTATTAACCTGCAAGAGATTGCTACAGTAAGAAATATTTGTTTGTTTACTTGTTCTTTTTGTATCCTACACTATTACTTGTCTACTTTTAATGGTATAGATCATTAGGAAGATTAATTACATGCATTGTTTGCACAATAGCACAGCACTGCATTTTATGGGGATATGCATTTTTGTGCACGTTTGCATCGGAGTGTGTTCCACTTAGGAGTCTGTGTACCCACTGGAGCCCAAAAAAGCTGTTAAAAGATGAGAGCAGGAAATCGGAAGATTGATAGCAAGTCCTGAGCTTTGAGTGTTTAGAAAAAGTTCTATTCTAACCAGGTGCAAAGGACAAAGAATGAGGGCAGGGTTAAATACATGCTTCAAATACAACACAAAGCACCATCTGGGAACCTTATTGCTCAATTAGAGCGACTCTTTACTAGGGCAGATTCACTGTCCGTACAAAATTAATGATTTCAGTAAAAGACATTTGATTTATGGTAATTCAAACTTCTCTTGTTTAACGAGATTTTTCTTTAAAAGCTGTTCAAAGGAACATTTTCTTAGGACAAGCAAAGATGAAAGAGTTTACTTCTATTTTATCTCATAGCATCCAAGCTCTAGCTTTTGGGGCCAAGAAGAAGTCTTTGGCCTTTTTGGAGTGAATTCCACTAATGTATTTAATTTAATTTAGTTTAATTTAATTTATACATGTAAAATTACGTATTTTTGAAGACAACTTTAACATTCCCCAGCAAGAAATTCCTGGTGGTAAGCCATACCTTCAGTAATGCTGATGATACTAACATACCAGTCTTAGCTCAAGCTGATGAAAAGCACACACATGCACTTATCTGCAGGGGGAAAACACAGTAGGTTAAGCTACAAAGATCTGTGTTTAAGATCTATTTTGCCATTACCATCAGAACTGGAGTCCTGAAGTTATTTGCGTTAGAAAAGTTTGTGTTAGTGTTTCTTCAGTGCCTCTTGATTCAGTGAAAAGGCAGCTCCTTCAGAACGCAGTTGTTATTTCTTTCCCTCTATCCTCTCTCTTGGGGAGTAGATAAACTAATCACGGGGTTGGAAGGAACCTCGGGAGATCATCTGATCCAACCCTAAGATAGGGGCACCTAAAGCAGGTTACACAGGAATGCATACAGAAGCAGAAAAGGGGCAAATGGAGGAGAAGGTCTTACTTTCATCATTACTGTAGTTGTATTTTCAGTCTTCATGACATTACATTAACTGATATTCTGGACATGTTCTAAAACATTAATAATATAGTAAGAATTCCTATATACTGTCAGTGTTCCTAAGGCAGTTGGGTTTGCTACAGGCATTGCAATGTGAAATGCTTTGGGCTGTGTCATGCAGGAGGTGCTCTGACTTGAAGATCAGCATCAGCCCATGGCCTTAAAAAGCAGGATTTTAATGAATAAACAAGCTATTTTTATGCTAACCACCTGCAAATGGCAACTGCAGTTTGATCACAGATGCTACCAGCAATGTTGCAGGTAAGTACTGAGTTGCTAAGCTTACAGAAACAATTTAAAATGTTTTTGTTTGCTAAGCAAAATAGCAAAGAAATAATTTGATCCCTACCTCTAAATAGACAATGTAAAAAGCAGAGTTTGAGCTCTATTGCCTCCTGCATTTTCTATTCGGTTAAGGAACTAGTACTGAAATTTGCCTCAGTATTAGTCTCAGTGAAACACAGATACGAAACTAAGTTAGTGTTTACTAATCTGATCTGGAAGAAACATCATTATGTGGTGATTATTTGTGCTAAAGTGCATATAGGTAACGTTTTTGTTTTATTAAAGATTCACTGTGATTTATTTCGCATGTAGTTTGAGTCTGATCCTGTACATATTAAGTAAAAGTGAGTTTTAGAATTAATTTCAGGGGTTTATGTTGGTAAACTAAAAGCTTTGCAGTTCAGTCTCAGCCACTGTTCACCTAAAATCAAGTTTTCGGCTCACAGTTCTAAACTATATTGTACACAGTTACTTCGTGTTCTAGATTTCTTATGTGGACTACTCAAGATGATGACAAGAATTACTATAGATAAGTCATTTAGTAACCAGTTTCTTTGTATAAACCACCTTACTGCTACAGCTTGGGGACGTGACAGGGACACATCCCCAACTACTAGCTTAATCTGAGTACCTGTTTTAAGTTATATGCAGAGCAGGAGATAGGTAAGTTTTATTTTAGGGAAGTATCTAAAATAAAAGAATTTCATTTCTTTCTTCCAAACATGACAACTCTATATATTATTGTGGAAGTCTAGATATTCTTCCAGAATGACCACTTGGGCAACTTGTTGACTTCCTTGTTTTGCTGACAGTATGAAAGGCATCTGGAAGGGGGTGAGAGATCGGGCTTCCTATATTTCAAGCAAGAAAGATGCTTACCCTAGTAGAAAAGTCAGCAGTCAACTGATACAAAAAGCCAACTTCCTGCACTAATAAAACTTACGTTAATGAAATCTTTCAGCACTTCTTTGCTAAACAGGATCCAATTCTGCAATATTTTACAGCAGTTCATTTCATGGGATGACAGCTATCAAGACCAATAATTTTTCTAGACATTTATGGACAGAGATGTTTTGTTGTTCTCTAATGTAATCTGATCATCTGATTTAAAACAGTACGGTGACCTGCAAAAAGCTTACTTGTCTTTGCATGTTATTGATCAGCACTATGTAACTAACGATTTTGCTTTGTTTCCCACAGCGAAAGGCCTCAGAGTTGCTGAATATCATTTACTAAGACTAAGATGAAGTGTCTTTTAAATTTCATCTCACGATTTAGAGCTGGTGATGAGAAAGAAATATGGAAGCTCCACAATTCTTGAGAACCTATAAAACACTGTGCCAGCTTTAGCATTTATCAATTTTTAACTACTGCTACAAGGCTTCAAGCAATCAATTATTTCCCAGCTCCGCGACAGACTCAGAGCTATACCAGATAAACCAGAAATCAATTTTACTGCCTTGTGGCTGGTTTCTAAATATGTTTCTCCTTACCACATTTAAGCCCAAACAAAGCTAGATTTGTTTGTTTGTTTGGGGTTTTTTTGTTAGTACAGACATGGCTGAATTTTCTTCATACTTCACTTGACGTTAAAAATTCAGAAGGGGATAAACGTTTTCTTGGTTGGGATATAGCTGCATTGTCCTTTTATTATTGCTTCCTAAAGAAACAGAGAAACAAATCTCTTTCATTTTCTGAGTCTAGCAACAAATTTGGGAACTATTTTTCACAGTGAAGTAAGTGTCTCTTGGCTCTTTTTTTATATCACCCTTCTGGAGTTCTCTACCATAAGGGAAGCATTTGATTAGCGTAAAATGTGCAGTATTCTGCTAAGGAACCATGGGAATTTCCAGTACGTTAATGAAAAACATAGTTTCCTCCAAAGGATGAGCAAAACTTTGCATGAATTTCAAAGAAAATGTTATGCTTTTTAAAGAGACTTCAATATGAAAATACAGCTTTAAGTTTTCTTGTGCCAGCCTCCTCCTGTGACTGCCTGGGTTTGACTCCACCTGACATAAGCTGAAGTGCTGGGAGCAGCACCAGGCCCGTCTCCACCAGGAATGCGAGCACTTTGACCCAGTACTTAGATAAAGCCTTGCACTGTCCAATTTGTAAAGCGGTGCTGAGGAGAACTGCCACCCAAGGTACATTATTACACTGTTCTTTTCAATACAAGGGGAGATGACAGTGTTTGACCCTGAAAGTAACTGTCACACTTAGCAAATGTGGGTGCTTTTAACGGTAGACTGAACAACTCTGCATTTAGAGGGAAGTCCATAGCCCTGAAGGGCCTTATTCCTTTTCTGTTAGCTTATCACTTCGGATGTATCATGTATCTTAGACTTATTTGCATGGAAGCGCCATGGAGATATTGTTTCTGTACGGGAAAAAAGTGTATTTATTTCTACTTTGGAAGATCTGAAGCACATATAACTTCTAAGGGTCATTATTTTTAGTCTTTTCCTGTTAAGTGGCGCAGGAAGCACCTGTGTTACTGGATATTTTTTCACTCCTGAATCACAGACCACCACAGAATGGTTAAGGTTGGTAAGGACCTCTGGTCCAACCCCCTATACAGCCAGGTGCCTAGCACCATATTGAGACAGCTTTTTGGTATCTCCAAGATGGAGGCTCCACAACATCATGGAGAAAGTTGTGCCAGTGCTCAGTCACCCTCACAGTAAAAAACATTTCCTGATGTCTTTCTGTTTGTGCCTGTTGCCTCTGGTTTTGTCACTGGATAGTACTGAAAAGAGCCTGGCTCCATCCTCTATGCACCCTTTCTCATATACATTAATAAGAAAGATCCTCTTCTGAGATCTCTGTTCTCCAGGCTGAACAGACCCAGCTCTCTCAGCCTTTCCTCATAGATGCTCCAGTTCCTTCATCATCTTAGTGGTCCGTTGTTGGACTCTCTCATGTATGTCCAAATCTCTCTTGTACTGAGGAACCCAGAACTGGACACAGCACTCCGGGTGTGGCCTCACCAGTGCCAAGTAGAGGGGAAGTATCACTTCATTTCACCTGCTGGCAGCACTCATCATGGAGCCCAAGATACAGTCAGTCTTCTTTGCAGCAGGTGCACCTTGTTGGCTCACCTTCAACTTGGCATCCACCAGCATGCCAGGTCTCTGACAAGCTGCTTTCCAGCTGGGTGGGTGGCCCCCAGCACAAAATGCTGCATGGGGTTTTTCTTTCCTTAGTGCAAGACTTTGCACTTCTTGTTGAACTCCATGAGGTTCCAGCTTGTTAACATCCCTCTGGATGGCATCAGCATGACCCTCTGGTGCAATAGCCAATCCTCCCAGTTTTGTGTCTCTGCAAGGTTGCTGAGAGTGGACTCTGGATCCTTCATCCAGACCATTAAGGAAGATGTTGAACAGGATCAGATCCAGCCTTGACCCCTGGGATCCACTGACAGTGTCAAAAGCCTTACTAAATTCCAGGTAGGTGATACCCCTTGCTCCCCTCATCTACTATACCACTCATTTCACCATTACAGGTTACACAGGAAGAGAGCCTCTGCATGTAAATGGTATAGAGAAACCTGTAAAGTAGAACATAGTCTGTCTTTCACAGCATTTTGCAAGTGCTTTTTATCAACATTAAGAAGTCAAAATTTCAGAAAGTTCACTTACATCACCCTGGTTGACACTGCTCCTTTGCCTTAAAAGTATACTAGTTTCTGTTAAATGATAGAAGCAACAAATTTCATGAAGCCTGAGAAAAGGACAGATCAGTTTTAAAGCCTGGAAAATGTAAACTGCTTCCTGTATTTTCCTTCTGAACCCCTTCTGGTTCTGACTGTCTCAACCTGGACAATGTCCAAAGGGACATTTTGACCAGTAATGAAAGCACAGGAGACCAACAGCAAGGACTATGTACAACTGTTAGAACCATTTTCACTGGAAATGAGTCACAGGTTCAAAGGAGTATTGCCCTGAACACATTTCTAATATAAACTAGGACACGTTCAACTGTTTAAGCCTGTCTTATCATGAGATTCATTGCCACTACAGAGTCATTATCTGCTCTAGCAAAGGCATAAAGCACATGTTGTTTGCCTGCAAATATTCCTACAGTACTCTGCAGTGAGAACAGTTCTGCTTTTGCCTTTTTATAAGCTGAGCCATTTGCCTATCAGCAATAATTCATTTGTATGTTCCTTCTACTCAGCTTATACATAAACAACCCGTCTCTGGTCTGTGCTGTAAAGGTATGTTTTGAGGCTTTGCCATCATATTCCAAAACAAGTTTATTTTCCTGTTTACATTTTTACCTATGAAAACTTTATTACATAACTAACATACAGAGAAGTGTAAAGACCTACTTACTTACACTTTTCCACATGTACAAAGCAGGGACTTAAAGTGCTTTCTGCAATCTGTACCATATTGGATTTCATTAACATTTAAAGTAAATACTGGTGATTTACAATTCCATACATAAAGCCTTTTTTTCCTCCAGAAACATGTATATACTATTCTATCAAATTTCACACTGTGAAAAATGAAGTCTTTTAGTACACTGAAACCTCACAGTGCCAGTGGCTACAGCTGCACTGTAGTTAGAGTGCCTTGTATCATACTGCAACCTGAAAGGGGCCACCAAGAACAGAAGCTTCAGTATAGGAAAAGCTGACTAGATCTGTGACAGCATTTTGCAACCTGGTTGTTCTCATGAAGTGACTGTGTTCATGAATACCAGACACAACTCCATAGCCTATACAAACAAATATGTCTATGTCAGATCAATAATTCTGCACAATCTTTAATTCCATAAGAATAATTTTAACTCATACGTGAAATTTATCTGAGAGTTTTATATTGCTTCTCTTTTACACAGTTGGCATGGAACACTTGTCCAAAGATTTCAGTGAAAGATACAACACTGAGGAAAAAGAAAGCTTTTTCGTCAGGGAACATTAAGGTTGGTACTGAAGCATACAAAAGGTAAGAAACACTATAGCAGAATTTGTCAATTCATTTTTAAAACCTCTCTGCTTTGTGTGTATCTATAACATATGCACAGTATGCATGGACACTGTTTTAATTACATGCTTGATACACAGACAGACTTTATAACTCGTTAAAGTTGTAAGGTAGGTATGCTTTTATTCAGCACTGAGGCGCATGGGGGATTGCTCCTCCAAAGGCATGCGCACCTCAGCCTCGTTTCCCCTTTACATTTATCCTCTAAAATTATACATATGCATGAGGTTGCACAACATGCCTATACATATTCATGTCCTACCCCTGCTTCATATTATAATGAGCTAAGAAGACCTTTGCGCTTGCACAGTGCCTCCTGGTGGTCGTGGTCGAGGGTCTCAAGATGAAGTAAGCGAGTCTTCCTCAAGCCTGAACTTCTTACCCTTAGTCATTACGCATACTCCCTGGAGGCTTGGTCATTGTCCAAAGTGCAGAGCCAATTTCAGCCGGCCTGGGCGTCCAAAGGATGGGAACCAAGTCACCGTCCTTACCTCCTAACAATAGCCACGTCCTTACATCTTGTTCTAGTGTGCATTGCGAGTACAATAAGCATCAACGGGTAGTGACGTTGTTAAGCAAGCGGCTTGATCTACCCCCTTGTACACTGCAAGTACGATAAGCATGAGCAAGCAGTAATACTTAAGCAAGCAGCTTGACCTCCCCCCCCCCCCATACATTGGTTAACCCTTTTCATTATGCTTACCTGCTATTTCTTTCATAGGACTCAAATCAACTCATGGGACAGAGTATGCTCAGTTAATGAGCAGATCCCCACCTCTAGGTTTTTATGTCCCTTATTAAATAGGTAATCCTATGCCTTCTTCACTTTACTTGATAAAAGTCCTGTTACTGAATTATGAATTTCCTCAAGGACTTTCTCTACATTAGTTGCTGTGACCAGTTCATAAATACACGTTTATTGTGCAACACCTGCATGAAGACTGCACACCAGTCACTTCACAGAAATAGCGAAGTACAAAGATACTGCATTAGTCTGGAAAATAGAGCTGACCCTACAGTCATAAAGCCTGGATTTGGGGGAAAAAAAAAATGAAATTTTATATTAAAGTGTGAAATACAGTTTTCATATTTTATTGACATGGATAAAACTGACTTGATTTTCTGTCATGAAGCCTTATTGCACCTGCAATTCAGGACCATGTGTCCATCTAGATTCACATAAAATGAGCTAGACAGCTTTGGCATGGCAAAATTGAGTTGCCTCAAGATAGGTCTAGTCATAGGATAATCCAGGTTGGAATGACCTCTCTGATCAGACCCTCCAGCTCAGAGCAGGGTCAGCTCTGTCATCAGACCATGTTGCTTAGGGCTTTATCCAGCTGTGGCTTGAAAACCACCATGGATAGAAACGGCATTTCTCTGAGCAACCCTGATTGTCTTCAGGATGAAAAAGGTTTTTTCCTTAGATCTGGTCTGAACCTCTCCTGTTTAGATTTACGCACATTGTTTCTTGTCATCTCTCAATACCACAAGAAGACTAGCTCCACCTCGCCACAGGTGCTAGGGGCTGTTGCTGAGGCCCCAAGATGCCTCTTCCCCAACTTGAACAGTCCGTGGTCCTGAGCAAAGCCTGTCCTCCCAGGGCCCTGCCACCTTGGTGGCTTTCCCTGCACTATCTATCTCCAAGCCATGAAACTAAATGCTTTTTTCCTGTACTGGGGAGAGGTGGGTGGGGAGGGCACACTTGACCAAATAGTCTAAATGCAGTCTGTTGAATGCTAAGTGGAGGGCAATAATAGCTTCTTTCACTCTAGTAAACTCCCTCCCTCATCATTCCTAGTTAAAAGCTCTCCTTAGCCAGTTGGCTAGCCTCTTGGCAAGGATGCTTTCACCTCCATTGTTAGGTGGATACTACACATCCCTATCAGTCCCTGATACTTGAAAATGTCCCTTGATCCTGAAAGTAAATTCCTGTCAAAAATACCAGTAATGAAGCCATTTGGTGACCCAGAGGATCTGTCTGCTCCCAAGCCTTATCAGCAGGACCAAGGAGAAAACATCCATGGCTTTCATCCTCACCCCCAGAGCTGCAGTCACTCCTGATGTGTTCCAGGTCTCTTTGAAATGTCTGGATTAGGTACTGCTTATTTTTAGGCACCTAAATCCTGCTTTTGGTGATCCCACACAAAAAACACTGAGTGATTTGATGAGGATCCTATAGGAACATTGCACAGAGGTACAGCCAACAATCCTGGGCTAACATCATATTATATTAATATCCTTGTATGAAAGTCTGGTGTATTTACTTCATGGGACCAACAACAATGTAAAAAAGTTCTTGGAAAAAATACACTGCTTTGTTTCAACCCCAGATAAAGACCATCCTCTCTGAACAACACAGATGAGGTGAGGAAAAGAAGACAGTAACATAAATCCTATTAAGACTATTATATATTACGTTAATGTGCTTATATTTAACAGCTTTTTAATGTTTAATTTCTTCAGTTTTTACAAAGCTGAATTTCCATTATATTCATTTCCATATGGTTTATGAGCAACCTGGAACCTCAACAATCTCCTCACAGAATTCTGCTCGTTTTCTGACAGTATTAAAAATATTGATTTCTGCAATTCAGAATTTTGCTAGAAATACCTAGAAAAAAGATGGCCAGTAATGAGAAGTAACATGCTTTAATTGTTATTCCCTATCATCTCTGTCCTAAACAGGGAGACTGAGACTGAAGCTCTTTGGAAGCTCCAAAGTTGAGCTGGCTATTGTTGACATTGAAGAAGAGCAGCTTTTTTGAGAGCTGCTGTAATACTTTTAGGACACTGAAAAAACAAGACAACCACAACGAAGGAAGTTTGTTTTCCAAGGAGGAGAGAGGCATTGGCCTAAAGCCTAAGGGTAAGGATGGTATTGTAATTTCACATTTTATCTGGGAGGTCTACATCAGGCTACTTTTGTACTGATCAGTAAATAATTTTACCTGACAAGGATACAATTGGTTCTGTACTGCATCAACAGTGTCTGGTCAGTGAAGAGAAAAAAGCATAAAAAAGTGGATTTTTCCGGTAGGGGCAGACTCAGCCTTACCTGTGTATTATAATATCCTGTATGCAGGCGATGAAAGGCAGGGGAGAATGCAGTTGACGTATGGAGGAAATGAAATTCGCCTTGGGAGTTTTCCCTGAAAAAAGGACAATGGCAAGATCAAAATATAAACTTGAAGAACTGACAGCTCCAATAATGGATCCAAATTTGAAATCACAGAAGCACAGAATAGTTTGGGTTGGAAGTTTGGGACTTTCAAAGCTCATCTAGTCCAACACCCCACAATGAGCAGGGACATCTTAAACTAGATCAGACTGCTCAGAACCACATCCAGCCTGGCCTTGAACGTCTCCAGGGATGGTGCATCCACCACCAATCTGGGCAACCTGTGCCAGTGTTTTACCAACCTCATTGTAAAAAAACTCCCTCACATCTAGCCTGAATCTCCCCTCTTTTAGCTTAAAGCTATCACCCCTTTTCCTGTCACAACAGGCCCTGCTAAAAAATCTCTCCCCATCTTTCTTATAGAAAGAACCCTTTTAAGTCCTGAAATGCAATCAGGTCTCCCCAAAGTTTTCTCTTCTCCAAGCTGAACAACCCCAACTGTCTCAGGCTTTCCTCAGCTTTTCTATCCCTCTGATCATTTTGGTAGCTCTGAACATATTAACTCCATTTCACATGACATCCCTCTAATTCAGGTCAAGTTTTTGTTAGCCTTCTATAGATTCGTTTTGAGTCAGCTTGACACTGTGTCCAGCATGTCTGAGGAATTCTCCTCCTTGGAAAGTTAAGTGGTCAGATGCACCCTTCTTGATGACCTTACTTAGCTGTGTGGTATCATGTACCACATCACCAGGAGACTGTCCTTCCAACACATGACAATGAGACCAACCTAAGATACTGTCTAAAAATAGAACAGAGGTGGGCAGAAGCAGAGAGACAGTGGATATACCACATTACTTTGAGCTGACTTGTAGTAAAGTGCTCTGAGTTCACACCAGTGACAAATGTTTGGAATTTGATTATGTATGTAATTACTTTGATAGGAGGAATGTAAAGAAACCATCTTTCTTGGAAAAAAAATAAGGAATGTACATTCTTAACTGGTTATAGGTACTGTGCCAACAAGCCTACCCAGACTTACTATTGCTATCATGCAAGAGGTCTTGAAAGGACAGTGTATCTATTTTGAGTTCTTATGCCTACTCTTAACTCTTCTGCCATTCTACAGCTCAAAAAGGCACAAGTGTTTGTTTTTCTAATTACCAATTCATTTTTCTTCCATGAGTCAATGAAGCAAAAAGCCTTCCACCATCAATCCCCACATTCTCAAGTGATATCTTGCCCAGCCCTTGTAGCACAGGGGCTTTTCTGACTGAGCTGTGCTGATCATCACCAGTGCATGCCCTTGATTCATGACAGTGATATCATGGCAGTGACTAAAGATACCACATTGTGGAGGCTTGTGGGGTTGAAAAATATATTCATTTTCTGAAACAAACTTCAAAGAAACTTCCAAAATTCAGATATATCAATTTTATTTATAGTGGTTTTGGGGGGTTTGTGGAAACTAAACTGTTTGCCTGACTAGATTTGTATGAGCCTTTTCTGCTCCATGCGCTAAAACATACCCTCAAGTCAAGAAGTATCTGTATTCTTTGATTGCTTTTAATCTCAGTTTTCAAAGAACCATTGAAAAGATGCTTTTCTTCAGCCTATAGCATTTATAAGAGTCAGTGGCTAAACTAAAAGTGAGGTTTTGTCACACTGATCAGTTAAACTGTCAGTGAATTAAAGCACTTGAAAAAAGGGGAAAAAAACCCCAACAGTGTGAGAAAAAAAAAAACCATGCTGTTTTGATAGAGAAAGCAAAACGATCCCACAGTATCAACATCCCAGTAAGATAGCACCTTATCTACAGCAGTCCATCCCATAATATTAAAGCTTACAAAACAGTTTGAGCTCGGTCAGTTCTTTGAACAGTAAGACAGTTTAAACAGTAAGAAGTTTAGCAATAAAACGGATGGAAAAATCACAATGTCATGAAAGCTGCATATTCTGAATTTAAGTTTTTGGGTTTTAAACAGAATAGAAACAGGCAAACCGTAGAAAATTGTGTTCTTTACCCATAAAAGAATTGCAACAATATTGTGCACAGTGACACTGGTGCAGTGATACTGCATGGATGAAATCCTCAGGTGCTTTCTCCTGTTGAAACAACCACCATGTTCTGTGAACAGAAAGACCTAACCAGGACAGCTAAGGCATCCTGGTTTCCTGGTAGCTATAAAAGACCTGAGCCTATCCTCCATATGGAACTTTTACAGCAAAACTGGGCTCCACACCTACAAAGTAAAGGAGGGGGCATGTTAATCTGGTGAATCTCTGCAAGTTTCACTCTTAATGGTCAGAAAATTTGGCTTATTGGTGCAGATGACTTTTACTTGTGCATCCTGCCCACAGATGCACAAAACAAACTTTTCTCACTCTTGGTCCCTGATCAGAATTTGTTAGTCCTTTCTAACATATTCCTTGAACCTGAATTTTTGTAACGGTACCACAGTTAAAACTTCCTGAAAGCATGGTAGTTTCATATAAAATTTAATGAACAAAGTAAGGCCGATTCGTACCAACACTCAATACTTGCGCAAACCCCCTGAAAAAAACCCTCCCCACACACAAAACCCAGAAAATTCACTGATCGGTCCTACAGTGTTAGGAATTAACATGTTGACAAAGTAGATCACTTAAACTGGCTTCTTCCAGCTCAAAGATTTTCTTTTTTCCCGAGTGGTTGAAGAGAAGAGATTCAGAGCAGCCCTGTAAAGGACTTTGGGGTGTTGGTTGAGAAAATGAACATGAGCTGGCAGTGTGTGCTTGCAGCCCAGAAAGCCAACTGCATCCTGGGCTGCATCAAAAGGAGCGTGACCAGTAGGTCGAAGGAGGTGCTCCTGCCCCTCTACACTGCTCTCGTGAGACCTCACCTGGAGTATTGTGTGCAGTTCTGGTGTCCTCAACATAAAAAGGACATGGAACTGTTGGAACAAGTCCAGAGAAAGGCCCTGAGGATGATCAGGGGACAGGAGCACCTCCCGTATGAAGATAGGCTGAGAAAGTTGGGGCTGTTCAGCCTGGAGAAGAGAAGGCTGCGTGGAGACCTCAGAGCAGCCTTCCAGTATCTGAAGGGGGCCTACAGGGATGCTGGGGAGGGACTCTTCATTAGGGACTGTAGTGACAGGACAAGGGGTAACGGGTTCAAACTTAAACAGGGGAAGTTTAGCTTGGATATAAGGAGGAAGTTCTTTACTGTAAGGGTGGTGAGGCACTGTCATGGGGTGCCCAGGGAAGTTGTGAATGCTCCCTCCATGGTGGTGTTCAAGGCCAGGCTGGACAGAGCCTTGGGTGGCATGGTTTAGTGGGAGGTGTCCCTGACCATGGCAGGGGGGTTGGAACTAGATGATCTTAAGGTCCTTTCCAACCCTAACTATTCTATGATTTTATGAGTCTCTTCCAAAGACTCACTAAATGCACCTTCACTAGGCATTTGTTAAGGAACATATCTGCCTTTCAAAGAACATTTAAATTCTTGGGAAGATTTCATGGATGTACCTTGCCCCCACCATACTACTATTTCAAAAGTATCCAACCACCTGCCTGTGGGACAGATGCATATGATTACAGCACTTCAGTTCTTTCTTCTTCCCTTTCTCATCAATAACTTCATCCAAGCACCTCCTCCCAAGAGGTCAGCAAAGTCTCCTTTACACGTTGGTTATATAGGTGCTCTACTGTAAAACAGATGCAAGAATCACAGAAAACACAAAAACCTGAAAAAAAGTTTGATACTCATGTTGTAAGGACCAACATGAACCCTGCATGGCTCAAGAGCTAATGGCAAGCTGGAGGGGGTGGTTCTTCCGTAACAGCTCACAGCACTGGCACGAATGATACTTGAACTTCCTTTTAAAATACATTGTTATTTTAAAATATACTTTAGAAAGGCTATTAAAGAAGCAGCACTGAGGGCCAAAAACGTATGGCTGTGTAGAGAGGGCCTTAATAAATCTAATCCTGTTAGATTTCCAAAGGCAAATTTAGAGATGATAGGTTTTGTCACTCAGAAAGAGTCTGCCATTTACAAAAGAACCAGCAACTTGAAATCTATCTCAGTTAAACAGTTTGTAAAGAGAAATCACACATACTGGCAACCACTGAAAGAAAATACTGAAGGGAAAGAGTATCCTCTACCTCCAAACTCTTTTAATAGGGACAAGATGTTTGTCTGAAGCCTAAATACCACATAAACACAAGGATCTGTGTTCAATACAGAAATAACTGGACAATATGCTATGCTACAAGAAGGAGACAAGACAGCCTGATTTCTTAGATTACGTGCTTAGTTCCCATTTGTCTTTGTTAAAGAAGATAGGGTTAATGTCACTGGCGTAAGTGACTACTCACCTGCCTGCTGCATTCAGCTAATGTGGAGTACTTTTAAAGACATGATTTTGTGGAATGTTTTAGTCCGATAAAACAAATGAGAAAAGGACTAAACTCACAAACCAAGTGAAAAAGGCAGGATAAAGCCCAGTGGTTAGAGAAGACCTAAGAGGGAAACTTCAACAGTACCATTTTACTTATCAGTATATTCAGAGACTCCAGTGACATAGAAAATCCTTAGCTAGTCAGGCAGAGTATTTTAATGCTTACCTTCCTATAAATGTCAATAGATCAATCCATTCTTTAAAATGATCTAGCATTAAATAGTAAAGCAGCTACACAAACTGGAGAATTATCACGGCCTAAGGACACCAAACAAATGGACAAAATGGCCACACGTAATTGTATTAATCCATCTTCATTTTGCCTGTTTCTCCTGATTTTTGTTACTTATTATTGATTCTGACTAAACTGCCTACTCAGTTTTCAAAACATCACTGTGGTCTCAGTCATGTTCCCATGCCTCCCCCCTCCCCTGGCCCCAAGAAACCTTTGGAGATCCCAAAGTGAAGGCGACCACCCAGTTTGGCATGGTGCAGAACAACAGGGGAGGTCTTCTCAAAAGAGACCCAGTGCTAGCAGAGCCAAGGGGCTGCAGGTTAGACCACATATTACTGGCACTGCTACTTCTAGAAGCTTATTCAATGTCCGTCACTGGGCATGGCGCTGGTGTCCAGCTAAACAGTTTTATTGGGGTTTATTCCTAATTTCTTTTAAAGGGGTAAACCTTTGCCAGTCCTCACATTATGTTTATTTGAGTTGCTTCTAATCAACAAATACTGAAAATGTGCACAATTAAAACCCATGTCAGAGAGGAAATGGGAGTGTTTTGACAACATTCACCTTTACATCAGCAGGCACAACTTAGACCAAATAACCACTAAGAACTGAGGGTGAATCCTATTTCAAGTCTTAACCATTTTTCTAATACAGATTTATGACCAGGAGAGAAGGTGACAGCCAAGGGCAACAGAAACCCTTTAGTGTTTTTGGTGTGACTCTGTTTCTGTAGAGCTGTATCACAGTAGAGTCAGGACCCCACAAACTCCTTTCTGTGCTGTGAGCTGCTTGTAAGATCATTTGTAAAATGAGGCTAATACACATTTCAAAATAAAAAGAAAGCTTACAAATATCAAGTCTAGTTCAGATTAGGAAAGCCTTTTTATAGTTATTTTGCAATTCAGTTGTTTCCATCTATGGCTTAGCTATGAGTTACTTCATCCCCCACATTGTTCCACTGGTTGCAGCTGTGATAGGAATGGGAGTTTTAATGACATAAAGACTTAGCAGAGAGAAGGATGGCAGATGAAAATGGTATTTGTGAGTTACATTCACCAGTCCTTATGAATCAGTAAAATACTGCTGTCTTAGAGATTTCAACAGTTCCAGAAAATATCTAGTTAAAGTCTAGGAAAATCCCTTCAACAGTCATACTCACACTATGGTTCTATATCCATTTTCCTCAGAGGGCTATATTTTGGGCCTAACTTAATCAGCTGTGATATTTAAACAAAAGACACTGGGGTAAAGCTGAGAGTTTTTTCACAGTGCCTATCTGCTAAGTGAACAAAAGAAAACTCAAGTTAAAATCAATGATGCTTCCTACTGTCCTAAAAGATACCATGCAGGCAATAAACTACTCTGTAAAATGGTACTAAAACGTCAACTGAATGTGGGGCTCTGATGGCTTTCAGTCTTCGTCATATATATCACACATCTTTGGAGGTAACAAAGCAGAACTAAGGTCCTGAAATACAGCATTAAAAATGCCCCTGTCCTCTGCAGATACCATCCTTGGAGACAAAGACAAGAAGTGAATCTGGAGTTGACATTAAGCTAATTATACTCAAGGCTGCATCTAACTCACAACCCACTTCACGTGTACTGGAGATTGCTGGTGGGGACTGGAAAGTAAGAAGGGTTTTTTATTGAAAATCTTAAGACAAAGAGGTGGAGACAGAATGCAAGGAACACTATGTTGGAAGCGTATGACATGGGCACACATGTATCAAGTAACTGTTTAACATTAGTCTGTAACTCCTAGGGACAGGCTGGTGAGACCCAGTGCAGTGCTACAGAAGTCAGTATAGCAATGACCAGTTGCATAAACTAAAGATATATTGTCTCAAAGGAAAAAGGCAGAGGTTGTGGCACGTGCAGAGGTTTGATCCTCTCCCATACCCAGGAAATCAAGCCCGTTTTGCCCTCTTTTTACACTGGACAGAGTCAAAAAGAAGTTTAATGGAAGCTGAAACATAAGACGGTATCACTAGTACTTCCTATGGTATGTAAAGAGCCCTTCAACTAACAACAAAGCCAGGAATTTTCTGAGACTACAAATTTTCAGTTAGTAGATGCCCTTTTTGTCCTTTTTCTATAGACTGTAGGTGCAACAGAGGTTGCATTTCTGCTTCTACTTGCTATAGCACTATGTTTAGCACCTGACATGAAGAGGCAGTGAGCACCACCTGAAACACAGGAGGGTCTATCTGATCACAAACGCTTTTTTCACTTTGAGAATGACTGAGCACTGGCACAGATTGCCTGAGAAGTTGTGGAGTCTCCTTCCGCAAGTGTCTTGACTGACACTTTCTTCCATCAGCCCTGCATTTCCTCTTGTTGTGGTGCATCAGGTGCACTTGACTTGGAGGGCTGCTTCACACAGTTGAATTCCTCATGCTTTTTGCATGCACTTGATGAAGAAATAGCAGGGCTGGAGGACTATCAGGATGCCTAAACCCTGACCCGTGTGGTTCTCTTCACTTGCTAAGGTTAGTGATGCAGGAGAAAAAAAGAGTGAAACCCTTCAGAAATGGACTGCAAAATAACACTAACATTCCAAATAAAGCAGAATTCTGTTTTTCACCTGCCTGTTTCTAGCCACAGAACAGATCTGGGTGCAGGATGTACTCTGCTTTTTTTTATCTGATCTGCCAAGCCGGTGTTTCATTTGTGGATGAAGTACTTTATGTGAAGATAGTGCTGGGCCATGAACAGCCAGCACTCGTTTCTGTTCTGAGTTGAAAATGAGCAGTCTGCTGGAAATTTCAAATCGGGAGGCACGCAGAATATGTAAGATTTGATGGAATGAAAGAGCACAAACATGCAATATAAACAAGTTTCATACAAGCATACGTATTCTGATGTGAAATCGTGAGATGTAACTGTCACTTAGTATGTCTTACAAAAACCACCCTTCAGTGAAAAGCTTGGTGGAACTGTTTAGCAAGCAGATTAGTGTGGCTACCTTTCTTTTCACTCAACTGCACTTCAGATCATTATGTAAATATCTAAAAATGCCACAGCAGAAGTCACGTCACTTACTGCCAAATGCATAGTGAACACTGAAAGAACCATGTCTTCCTTTTCAAACCGAAATAAACTCTTAGTATGTGCCTCTCCTGCCGAGATGACTTTTGGAATTTTATATAGACAGTAGGGTGAATTCCAGCATATTTGTCATATGTAATTATGGCTTTTCCCTGGAACTGAACCGAAGAAGAACTGATTATTATTTCAACATCAACCATCTTGACAATTACAAATATTTGTTTCATTGGGGAAGTGGATGCATCATGTCCTATTTATACATAGCTTCACACTACTGGAAATACAAGCTGTTCGCATTCTCTGTAGATTTCTTGTTTACTCCTCCTGTATGAACATTTTACTAATTAAAAAAGAGAAGACTCCCAGATGTAATGTACATTTGTACATTAATCACAAGTAAAGTCAGGGAGTGTGGCTACTAGTTTCTCAACTGTGAAACCACTGCAGTGAAGTTTCCGTGACTTCAGTAATAATTATGTTCCTGGAAAATTGAGAAATAGTGTCTTCCTGAACTAAGGCATGAAAATGGAAAAATTAAGTCACTCAAAGAACTTTAGCTCTAGCTAGGAGAAGTAATATTAAAATTCCAAGTGAGAAAAAAAAGGGTCCTTACCATTATTATCTGAAATTGCAAACAAAATGTATGGTGTTCTAAAAAGCACTGCATTCGTGTTATATATAAAGGCAAGGATAAATTTCTTAAGCGCTTAAGAAATACATTCCCATTAGGTTACAATATATTTTCCTAGCTTTTTATAATGTTTGGCTTGAGAATAATGAAAGCTTCCCATAATGCATGTGTCTTATCATAATGGCACTGCACAAGACAGCTGCCATTTGTGTTTCATGTTTGCCTGTATGAAAACACTCACATTACGTGAGTTATCCTTTTAACTTAATCAGTGGAAATTTTATTTTCCAACTTCTGAACGTTCTGCTAGCTGACCTTTGGCTTGCCCAAATTCACCTTATTTATGAAGCAATACACAGCGTACAAACCTTTGTATTGATGGAAGATCAGATTGCCCTTCTCAGCCATATTCCTCTTTAGCAACGGGCACACACAGCTTACCCAAATCTAGTGCAGAGCTGAATTTTAAGCATATTTCTTCTTTTGGGAAGGTGAAAAAAGTAAGACTTACTTTAAGAAGTTTTCATTTTGCAGCAGTCATGCATGGACTGTAACTCAAGCTCTTGTAGAATTGCTGCATTCTGGTTTCTTACTCCAGCTCCCTCCTCACGGATCTCCTAGGCTGGTATAGACAAAGAAAACCAGGCCATTTGTAATTAATTTTGATCTTTCAGATTATTTGAATGTTCTTTAGAACTGTGAAATACAGTGGATTACAGTTAGAGTTTTGCTATGGCAAAGGCAAGTCTGTATTTGTCAATTGAGCAACAAAAAGAAAGCTAACGTGCCCCATTCAGAGCTCCATTCAAAACCAAGTCATGTAATACAGGATGCTTTTAGTATACAAATGTAACAATTATTTGTAAGTGCTGAGTGAAAAGGAAATAACAGAGTATTTATGTATTCAGCTGTGAATACTACACAGACTTTTAGTATTTCTAATAGATGCAATATTTTACTTCTAACATGTAATACTGAACAGCTTTACTTACTATGTATAAAACTATTCAGGATTGATAAAATTTCTTTTCTTTCAAAAGATCCCTTTGAGGCAACTTTAATGAGACACTTGTTGGTGCTATCATGTGGAAGTATTCCCAAAATACACACAACATGCAAAAAACCAAAACAGGATATTTTAAATTCTGTTTAGCAGTTAAACGATTTAAACTCAGAATATCTGTCTTGAGCTGCTTTGTCCAACCCTCCTCCCTTTCCCTGCCTGCTTCATCACACCATTTGGTAGACAGAAACAAAGAGAACATCTACCATCAAATGTGTGATACTTCAGGCACATCACAGATGAATCATGAACTCTACACCAGTTTCAGTCTCCACACTAATGCACGCTACGTCCTATACCTCTTTATCCAATTTTTACCTCTTCTTTTATACTAGGGCTCCATCAGATCTGAGCTAGGGAATGGGAAAATTGGCTGGATTTGCTTCACCTTACCCACCCACACAGACAAGCTGGACCATCCATATGCATACTGCTACATATGGTGTAAGATAAGCAGCTACGCTTAAGGCATGTGAATCTAGCATTTTGCTGTCTTTCATCAGATCAAGAGAAAAGGTCACAGCCAGATCTAGTTAGAACTTGAATTTCAGTTTTTTCATGCTGCCCACAGGTATAAGACAACTGGATGGATTCTGCGTACTTTTTTTACCATTTTTTTTTAATTTGTTTTTATCTCAAAATTCACTGTTAGGGGAGGAGAAAAAATATTCAAAATTATTCAGCTCAATTAAACAACTGAATATATGAAGTCACATGAAGCTACTCTTACCAGTTGCCAAAAGAAATCACTGGCCAAAATGGTCACCAAAATCAACACAGTCTTGTTACAAATTAATTTAACTTCATAAACTTCTGGGGAATGAATCATAGAATCTCAGGCTGGCTTGGGTTGGAAAGTACTGTAAAGCTCATGAGGGGACGCCTTCCACTAGTCAAGGTTGCTCCAAGCCCTGTGCAAACTGGCCTTGAACACTGCCAGGGATGGGGCAGCCACAGCTTCTCTGGGCAACCCATTCCAGTGCCTCACCACCCTCACAGGGAAGAAATTCTTCCCTATTTCTAACCTGAATCTCCCCTGTTTAAGTTTTAACCCATTACCCCTTGTCCTATGATGAAGAGAACCCAGAGGCAAAGCCCAGTTAAATATCTGTTATCACAGAATGAGACTTATGCCAAACAAGTGGAAATCTCTATTCAAGATAGAAGTAATTAGAGTACCTCCACAGTGACATCCAGTGTCTAACTTCTTGCCATTGAGTTGGCACCAGTACTGAACTCTGCTGAAGTCCTTATAGTGTGCGTTCAGCATTCAGGTATACTTCACACTTGCCTGGGGGATCATCTGACCTCCTTCTGCCTCTGCACTTACTAAAATACAGGTTAAAGAAGTTAAATAAAAAAGGTATGCCAGGAAGAGTGGGACTGTTGCTCTCAGAGTGGCTGTTTTAGAGGTTTCTGCCCTTCTGTGGTTACTCAAAGATAGCATTACAATGGGTGGCTGAGAAGGAAATGGTTTGGTTTAGTTGACCTCAAGTTTAAACCCAGAAATTCATCAGGGCTTTATTATCTTTGGACCAGGCAGAGGGGTATACAACGTATATTGTCAATGGGAACAAAACAGTTTGGTGAGAAATTTAAAATCAGCCCAAACTGCCAAAGGAGCATCAATACACCAGAGCTGAGGAAATGGAGTAGGGGGGAAATAGGAGCAGGTCCAGGGACACGGAGTGATCTGTTATTCTAATTGTTCTGTTTATTATTCTGTAAACACTCCATCAAATGTTCTCCATGGTTATCAAGCATATGTTTTGAATGCATTATGTGAAACAATTAGAAGCACATGCTTCTTTTTCTGTTCACAGAAAAATGCCAATATTAATCTTATTCTTGCAGCCTTGCCAGAGCTCTTCTTTGGATAAACACTCCCCATACAGCTGTATTGGACCCCAATCCATTTAACCTCTTGCTATTAAGTTCCCCTTTGCTTTTGCAGGTTGTAAGACTGGCACTTCTTCTGTTCCTTCAATAATGACCTGGTATAGAAAACACAGTCTTCCAGAGAACCACGATCATATCATAGCTTGCTCCAAGTACAAATATGTCAGCCACTTTTTTTTCCCCAAGATTTTGAAATTTGTTGTTGCTGGTAATGAACATGGTAAAAAGAAGTGTTCACAGTTTTCATAGAGGAGATGAAGTCCTGCTTCCCTTTGCCGGTATCAAACCGAGTGATTTAGGGGAGAAAATGTCGAAGTAGATTTAAACTGTTCTCCTTACTTCTGTAACAGCCAGTCTTTTGCCAGTCTACTGGCAATGTTTGTATTATCAAACAAATATCTCAATAGTATAATCATTAATGTAGTAAATATTTAGGTAAATGTATTAAATACTTATATTATTAAATAAATGTGAGAATATATTACCCATAGGTCAGCAACAAAAACACTTCTCAATATAAAAAAAAGAGTGGTAAAAGCACAATCCAAAGGCAAATCTGAAGCAGTATTCTGAACTTTGAGGTCCTTACCTTTGTCATGAATTTTCTACAAACAATGTCTTTGCACAAAAAGAAAAATAAATACTGTGCTAATATGTGTATTATTTAAAGTGCAACATTTTTGGTAATGCAACGTTAGAAAATATTAATGAACCTTTTGTTTCTAAATTAGTTCCTCCAAAGCATATTTTTACTGAAGAGTGTGATGTTTCTGGTTTCAGAATTGTTGGAGGAGTTCAGTGACGTGGTCAGTCCTACTTTTATGATTATATCAAACAAGGATTGTTAACAAAACTCAAAGGTAAATATCATTTTTGAAATAATACTGATTTTGGTATTAGTTTCCTTTTCCCTTTAACTTTTACACAATATTATTTTTTTAGTATAGTTTGGCAAACCTTCAGTAAAATCTACGCTACTTAAGACTATGCCTTAAAGAAATCATCAAGAATTATGGGGAAATAGACTTCTTGAATGAAGAAATAGGTTATGATATTGAAGCAGGACAACAGCAGATGTCCCAGTTTTTGAGACAACAGGAGATGATTTAAAAATTCATCTCTTCCACACATGATATTGTGACAGACCAAGAAAGGTTTGACACAAAGAGGACACAAGGAAAAATCCCTTCAACCAACAGCATGCATATCCATATAATTCATTTGTTTATTTTTCCCTCCTTTCTCTTGTGAGGACATAAAACTCCACTACAACGACCACACTGGATGGAAGCTAACCCAGGTACATGCATGGGAGCCCAGCTGATGCTTTTATACAAGGCTCGGGCAGCCTGGTCCTGGTCTCTCTTCCAGGCATTTGCACACATCTCATTCCCAGCAGTGCTTGAGGTTCTCACCTTAATATGGTGACTTTACAACCCAGCGTGAAAACAAACACCATAAAATCAAATAAACTGATTTGCAGTATTCATTAGTAGGGAAAACAGTTACAGAGGAAATGAAATATATGGTTTCTAGGGTTTTGCTGGCATTTCTCCATGTTAAATGCTCATTCCAACACTGATATGGGAAACAGTTTACTGACACCTACACTGTATGATCCACATAACTCAACTAATAGCTATTCTGTTTGCAGAAGTAATCCTAAATAGACAAAAACTTTTAAATTTTTCGCACTGAAGACAATGTCACCGTTAAATACAAGCTTTTATTTCAGATGGAACTATTCTATGATTCCATGTATCCTGCAGCATTTTGCAGGACAACACTATATGGTATTACAAGGAACCGTATTTTTCCTTTAATTCACATTGTACTTTACACTGATGTCAACATCACAAAGTTGCCTCTTCTAAGACAAAAGGTCATTTCCCTGGTACACTGACCACTGGCTGAATAAACTCTCTGCATATCCTCTCACATCACTATACTGAAATTCTGCTTCTTTAGATCAATCAAACCCATATGAAAACATACTGGTGACAGGATTTGTTTCTGAAAAGGTCCAGAAAGGGTACTGCAATTGCAGGGCTCATCCTCCACTGGCAAACACTCAACTATCCACACTACTGATGTCAAAACTCATCTCAACAGAAGAAAAGTGTGCACACACTGGTCTGAATACTTTTGTGGGCATTAATCTGGAGCTTCTGCTTCAAGAATTATCAGAGATTTTTTTACCATTTAGTTTGTCACAATGCAATAATAAAGACAGACCAAGAGATCAGGTAATTAGAGTATTATAGTGATAAAAGCACTACAAATAATTTACTATTCCCCATTTCTGACGCCATATCACTTGTTTACAATAAAGGAAAAAGGAGCAAAAGTAAAAATTGCCCTTGCCACCCAGTGGCAGTGAGCTTAACACAAGCAGCTACATCAGCCGGTATGACCTACTCACAGAAAAGCAGTGAAAAGGGCATCCAAATGCAGTATAAACTATCTGCTAACCCACCATTTCTCTGAAGTCTTAAAAGAAAGCCTTACCAACTTTTCTGGTTTTTGTTGTTTGTCGTTGTTGCAGAGAGAATGGAACCCATGACAACACTGAATTGTGAATATGCCAGCCATGTAGCAGAATATTGTGGAAGCTGCCCAATATATCATACACAACGCACTGCAAGAGTTAACCCTGATGTTAAGCAGAAGAGCATTCCAGTTTGTGCAGCCTCTGATTTTGTAACGGTACAGCCCTCCAAGCATGACTACACCTTTACCTTCAACATGACTACTGAATGCAGGCTGATCAATGTCCATCTGCATACTGCAAACTGCTTCTGAAAAGAAATTAGAAAGATGATTAAGCCAATATTTACACACATAACAGACAGAGGTCATTATACATATTGCTCAGTTCATTCTGCAGGCAGATGTTTGAAATAAGTTCAGTGCATGGTCCAAAAAATAGAGACTATGTCAGATACTCATGATTCAGGTTAATGATGTAGTTACAAGGAGGAGAAATATCCTATTAAGTTGTTCAGAAAGTTGTTTTGAATACAGGAATTGGTATTTTGTGAAATAATCAGTGGATATGAAGTTAGCAGAGTCATTCTAGATTTGGGGTATGTAAATGAGATCAAAATGTACCAGCAACCAGCATTCATTTCCTTGTGACAGGAGGAGGGGAAAAAGGACACTTTAAAATACTAACTATAAATAATAGTCAAAGATGTGGCAGAGGCCAAAATATGTCATATATATAATGGTTATGACAGGACTGACAGAACAGTATGTCCCCTCACTCTGACCCTTCAGGAGCCCTCCTGGTTGGCCTGTGGTAGGGGCAGGATCTTGAAGTCACAGGAGCTTATTGAAGATTCATGCCAGCAAGTGCAGTGTTTGTACCTGAAACATTATACATTTAAGTGCAGTCTTTATATACAGACTGTTTTCAAGAGGTCATTATCACAGAATCACAGAGTGATTTGGGTTGGAAGGGACTTTCAAGCTCATCTAGTTCCAACCCCCTGCCATGGACAGGGACACCTTCTACTAGATCAGGTTGCTCCAAGCCCCTGCCAATCTGGCCTTGAACACTGCCAGGGATGGGGCAGTCACTGTGCAACCCGTGCCAGTGTCTCACCACCCTCATGATTATATCATTTAAAGTACTTGCAGAGGGAATCTCTGCATTTAGCAAAGCATGCCATGTTTCAGCCCCACAAGTTCCTGTGGTTGAACCTGGAGCATTTAGTCCCATTGAAATTATTCTGCAAAAGTGAGCATTTAGGTAAAAAAGCAGGCAGCGGTTAGCAACTCCGTCACTTATATGTTTAATCTTGTTCACAGAAGCTGGGTCCAGGCATCCAGATGTATTTAAGAACATACCTTCCTCCATGGTCAATGGCAGGTAGCTGCAAAGCATCCTGGCCCAGCCAACAAAATCTGGACCAGTGCACTGCAGGGATCATTTCTGGAATGCTGTTTTTGTTTCCACGCTGCCCTGTATGCCAACTTCAGAGCACAATGGTAAGCTTAATGGTTGCATCTGCCAAACTATGTAATGGCCATGACGACTGTGCCACCAGAGCGGGAATAGCACGTAGTAGTGCTCTCTCATGGATGACAGCTCAAGATAAAAATGTGAGAAATATTCAAATGACAATTCTTGTGACTTCCAGTTAAGTCTTGTGTTAAAATAGAGTTTGCAAAAACAAATGCAAAAAACTAACTTAGAACAACTATATGCATAGCTGAAAACCACATCCTGTTTGTGGGTTCTCACGTTTCAAGAGCAGTTTATCACACATTTAGAAAACATACATTTTCATCCTAGTAATTAGCAGTCAGCGTTCTGCCATTTAAAGCCCTCACACTCAAGGGGAACTCAGAGCTGATGTCTCCTCACAACTTTAAAACTGCTCCTGGAGCTTGCATATGGAAGGGAATACCCTGTCTTGTTTCATGTGTTTGTAGGCTGTGATCTCGACAAGCTCATGAACATGTCTGGGGATGACTGTAATTTATCTTGATTTAGCAAGTCAACTACTATAAAGTGTTCAAAATAACTACTAAGTTGTCCTCCAATTTCCAAAGGGCATTTTTGGTGACACAAAAAATAGCAGAAATTCTGAAGAAATATTAGCAGAACAGGTTTTTCACTAGAAATAGTGATTTTTTTTCCCATGGTAAAAAGAAAAAAAAACCAAAAGGTTGCACTGCATACTGACTTAAACAGTGGTGTATGTCAGAACTTCATGCACATCATGGAAAAAATGTATTTCAAGCATAATTTCCATTAACTTTTATGTTACCATGTAAACTCATAGTAAAATTCACTCATATAGTACTGCCTCAACAATTCTAAATTAAAAATCTGTCAGGCACTAAAAACAATCTTGGACTTTGCTTTTTCTAGACTTTTCCAATGTATGTTTTCATTCTTTTATGGTTTTTTTTCTGACTTCTAAACCTGCAATGGCACACATTTTCCAAAGCTTGTTTTGCAGCCACATGGGGAGATTTTCAGATGTTTCAGAATAAAAGTCAACAGGCTTTCACATGCCCATGCCCCCAGGAACTACTGCTTTAACAAACACATCTAATAGCCTGATACTCTTTAAGACAATGTAAGTTTGTTACACAGGTCATAAAATACCTGCTAGAAGTGTCTACATAATGCTGATGTCTTGCTTAGATTAAAAAATACAAGTAGATTTGGCAAAATGTTTCTTCTTTGGTGTATGTCCAGGTATTGTAAGTCATGTAGTGTATGGAGATTAACAACAGTTTGGCTCTATAGGGTATCTTTTAGTGTCTTCTCTTGGCAAAATGCCTTCCAAGCTTAGTATCACCGAGACCGTTAATATCTAGCCTTGCAGGTATGTGAAAAAATATCAACATGCCGTTACCTCCTCTGTGTTTAATGTATTTTAAGAATACTTTTTTTCACTTAACACTCCCCCCCCCAGCTACAATAATAGTACAGGAAGACAAAGCATGGAACAGTGAAAACAGGTAAGCATGTCTGTTTAAATGAAATGCATGGAAGAACATCCTCACTGCATGGCCAAGTATGGTCTAGCTACGTGACTAATCCACTATATGGCAAAACTAAATATATGATGTTTTTATCCACATTTATATGTCAATTTTATAGCTTCAGATGCCTAGGTTGTACTGAAAGTTTAAATTGACCAAGCAGCCCTTGGATAAAGCCTGTATTAATTACCAGTATCAACTGTTTGGGAAATACAGGGGAGTGTAGAAGTGCTCAATTTCCCTAGGTTTCAGGGCTGTCTAGATTTTAACTGTGTGAAAGGATAAAGAAAACACCCTTCTCTGTGGTTTCAAGAAAAATCTTCGTTTGAAGCTATGAAAATCTTCCAGTGGTTTCCAAAACGGGAATGAATTCAGCAAGTGTTTGCATTTTCAAGGCAGGGCTTGCAGCATCTCTCACCACAAAGAACAGAAAAGACCCAGAGTTATAGAGGAAGCTTTAGTGAACTATGGATTTCATTGCACCTTCCCAGGCTCATTAGTTCAGCTACCAGTTTCTGCTTGTTAAGAGGCTCTGTGGGTAGCAGCAGCAGCAGCAGTCAGTGATGCTAAAGAAAGAGGTACCTGCAGAGACCATGGTTCAGGCTGCCTCTTGGGCTGGAGATGACACTATAATCTGGTTAGAGAACATTCTGGTTATTTTCATTTTATTTACATAGTCACATTATGATTTTGTTTTCACATTCAGGCCAGCTTCACACCTCTCAGGCTTGCCTTTTGTACCTCAGATGAAACTGGAGAACTACCAGTTGCTTTTACTTACATCCCTTTAACCTCCATTCAGGCAGGGTCATATAGATGTGAGGGGAAAAAGATGCCCTTTGTGTTAGCATCCCTCTGTGTGTATGATTTTTCATTTGCTTCTATGTTTAGCCATTTTGAGCAATAATACAAACTGAAATCGCACCTCCTGAAATACAGTGACTTAAACACTTGAAATGCTTTTGCTGGAGGGTGCTGTTAGCACTTCTGTGCTTTTTTTTTTTTTCAACTCTGAATCCGGTATCCATTTCTTACAGTACTGCATAATGCATATGAAATGTATTTTTGATGGACATACAGTCAACCAGCAAAATCTCCACAGTCAATAATGAAACCAACCACAGATCTGTAACTGTATACACACATGTATTGCCTTTGCTCTTCTACAGAACATGGAATCTAGTTGACTTAAAGTGGGGGAGCCTTAATAAGGTCCCAGTGTCGTGTAAGATTGGGCTGTGTGGGGAAGATTTGAGTGTGTCCAGAGTAACCTACACACTCTCTACAGCAGTAGTAGCTCTCCTTAGAGAATTAAAAAGTTCCAGAAGAAAATCACTGGAGTAAGGGGACTGATCAGCCTTTCCACAACTGGATCAGCTGGTAACTTGAGCAAGCTTCTGCTTTGTTGAGGGAATGAGAGATATGTTTTACCACCTCCAGATGGTGGAGGTAAAACTCCACCATTACTCTGCCACAGTAAAAGTGCCAGATCCCAGGGAATATGGTTCTGTAACAGTAAGTCTTTGTCCTTCCTTGTGCCTGTGTCAGAGACAGGAATCACAATCTTCCTGTCTTCTTTGAGCACTCCATGGAAGGCCAGCTAAGAGTTGCAAAGCAGATACAACATCAACCATTTAAAAAAAACCACTATATATATATATATATATATATGTATATGTAAAAATGACATTTCCACATACCTTCTCCATGTTTATGGCACTAGCTGGCATGGAGAAATTCAGGCTGCTCATTCTCATGGAGGGATCATTGCAAATACCCTCTGCTGCAAGAACTGTGTTCTCCCCACGTAACAGCTTCCATCTGACAAGATGTCACAGTTCAGGGGGCAGTGCCAAAACTTCATGTCAGTTTATAGCATATAAAATAGCTATGCATGACATAGCCAGAAAGGAGAACACAAGTGCACCACTTAGACAAAAACCTATGTGAAAACAATAAAACAATGGACAAACCTCACTTTTTACAGTATTTTTTTTTTCCAGCTTCCTCCCCCAGAACTGAAACCAGAGCAAACGATGTTGCCACTGGCTGCACTGTATAATCGGAACTTGTCAGTGCGCTGTCCGTTGCTCTCTGTGGCTACTGCCTTTTCTCATGCCCGAGAGAAAATGGATGATCCACCAGCCAGACTGCCAGGACAAGTCATTCGAGAAAATGGATCCATTCCTCTCACTGCCAATAGGACCTGGAGCAAATGACGCAGACCAGACTTGGATGTGACGATAGGAGCCCAGACATCTCTAAACATCTCATTAGCCATCCCTGCATCACTGGGACCCTAACTGCAAACAAAAAATACTTCTCTGTGCTACAGTGTCCAGTTTGTAACATGGGCATAAAGACATTTCCTACCTCAGACATGTATTTTGGAGTTTAATACATTAAAGATGCAAACTGTAATGCAGGTCCCTATGCTAGCTTCATGGAGCAAAGGCTGAGATAAAACTGACATCACTTAATTTGATATCTGTGCACAAATCTAATGAATTATAACACACAGATGTCTCAAAAGCCTATAAACTCTCAGGAAGTGGAAAACAAGCTTTATATTTTTATATGCTTATCTCTATAATATCTGAAAATATTGCACATATCCAAACCCAGAAATAAGACTTTTAGTCTTCCTTTTCTCTCTCATTTTATACTTCCTTGATTTGCCATAGTAAATAACTCTTGGTTTGCACACTTTGGCTTGTGTGTGTGAATGTATGTGCTGTCTGACAAAATGCCACCCAGTCAAAACCTGGTAACTTCACGCGCTGTTCTCAGGGTGAAAGGCACACGGCCAGTTTGATCTCCCACTGCACTGAACTGCAAACTAATTCGTTACCTCTCTGAAGTATTTGCTGCTCACCTGTGTGAGCTCTCCTTGTCCCTGACAGTTTCAATTTTAAAGCTAAAAATTCCTCTCAGGAAAAATCTCCACAGAGATTTTACATATGAGGATAAAGGCTCTAAATCAGCCTGTATTTTCAATATTTGGAGGTGTGTACAGAGGAGAACAATGGGGTGATCTTTCCTTTTCTTTTTTTTTTTTTTGAGACCAAAGGGATTTCTGTCCTTGAAACTATTCAGAATATTTTCAGCGTGTGAGACTTCATCCCTAGGTGTAAAGAACTCATCTAATTAGTTCTCAAGGTCAGGAAAGTATGTGTCAGTGTGTCCTACTCTCTGCTGGCAAGGATAACAGGCAAGCTTGGGGTTTGCCTTATCTTTTAGAGTTTGTAGTGTTTGGGGGATGGGCTCATGATTAATTGTTTCAGAATTCCCCCCCCCCCCCGTGTGATATCATCGAATCATTTAGGTTTGAAATGACATTTAATATCAGCAAGTCCAACCATAAACTGCCAAATGTCCCCTATGTGCCACTTCTACTCATCTCTTAAATACCTTCAAGGATGGTGACTCCACCACTTCCCTGTGCAGCACTGAAGAGTAATGAAGCAGGATGGTAGTATATGGTGAGAGAAGGTATGGTGGAAAACAAGTTTTCCTTTTATGCTTTAATCAGTCAACATTTGCTAACCATGTGGCTTGAAATAATGTGCAAAGCACATTCATACAACACATACAGAGATACAAATTACACACCCTAAAATGCTGGCATGTGCACCACTTTTGTCCCAAAGCCTGATCCAAAAACTTATTGCTGGGCTCAGCCTAAAAGCCTAAATCCTTTACTTCACTTTAGGATCAGTTGCTTATGTACACGTGTGAACAACCACATGCCGACCACAAGGCAAGTGATCTTGCAACTGTGTTGTTAAACTACAGACAATACATCCTGATGAGAAAAAGAATATCTTAAAGGGCTGTCATATTACACAGACCAAAGCTGGATTCCGTTCTTCTAATCTCAAAGGGAAGGCAGAAAGCTTGTTTCTTTGCCTGGCATACCATATCTTAACTACTTCATGGACATACTGAATACTGTCCGAGAAGATGCGATACCAAATGATCACTTTTCATTTGAATACAGAGGAAAAAAAAAAGTTGCTGTCTTGGTGTAACAAATTTTTCACCAATTGGAGATATTCCCTGAAAACAAAGGCAGATTTTAACAACAAACAAATACTGTTATTAGTTAAAAAAAGAAAAATGCTTGGAAAACAGGGACTCTGTTTCCCAGGAAACTTTGCCACTACACCCACTTTTTCTTTAGGAAACAAATAGTTTCTAAACCAGATATGACTGTGAAAGGTAGCTACCACACATTGACTTTATTGTGTAGTTTTCACTCTGACAGATGGTCAGTAGTTTGACAGTAACCACAGCTACTTACACTGCCCTTAAGCTTTACCTTGGCATTGGTATAATTTTCAAGATGAAATAATGAAGTAGCAGGCTTAATTAGCTATTAAAGTATCTAGTGTAAAACTGTCAATTTTTACTTCATAAAGCTACCACCAGTCTTAGGAAATGGAATAGACTGAATTCAAATGGTTGCAATTACTATAATGAACTCATGCAGTCCCAGTAAGTTATTTATAGTGGGATACAGTTCTTAACATTTCCTTTTGCATGTCTGAAGTCTGCAAGCAAACAAATAATAGTCACAGTCCCATCTCCGCTTTGATAAAGCTGCAGGAGCAAATGAGGTCAAATTCTGCCTTAGCCAAAATGTACTTACCATGTCGAGGATGCCCTGCCTCTGTTCATATGGTTGGTGGACAGTGATCCCTGCTTTCAGTATGGAACACTTCTTGTATTTATAACCTCGATATTTTTTTAAGGATACATATTCTCAATGAAAAAACTGGAAAGAACAAAAACCCAAAGTGACTGACAATTTCTCTTGGAGAAAAAGCAACACAAAACATCTATCAAATTATCACATCCATTATAAATGGCACAAAGAAAAGAAGTCTTACTAAGGGAACATTTTCTACACCTAATTAGAATTTCCTAGGTTTTAACTACGGAGGTCATTTGCATTAAAGGGATGACAACAAAGGGATAAGGAAATACGTACAGTTGGGCAGAATGGGGTGCACCCTTCTAGACCCAGGATGAAAGACTCCCAGATGTCACAAGAAGCCTGCTATACCAACCCAGTGTGACCTGTTTGGTGTTTAGTGAGCTGGAACTGTCATTTGCTGAGGATTTTCCTGTGGGCTTTGCTCAGGAAGGAAAATTAGTCAAGGAAAATTAGGACATCCCAACCTGCAGAGATTCTCTGAAAGGTCAAGGAAAATAAAACCAGAAATTCTAAGGATGAAGGCTATGAACTACTGAGACAAGATTCAAAGGGAAGCATTGATTTTTATCAGTTGATGTCTCCAGAACAAAACTATGCAATTTTCCTCAGAATGGCTTTTAATCTAACACAATTTAGTGGTTAAATAAACAAAACATTCGCTTATTTCAGATGTTAGTTTATGTATGGCATCCAGTTTTTACTAAGACTTTTTTTACTAAAAAGACTCTTTTACTAGAAAGTATTTCTATTTACTTGTTACTAAATCCAAGGATATCTAAAGGCAAAATAACCCATGATGACTTTTGAGATGCATCATCTTTCCTTACTTAGCCAGCACTTAAGTGCAACTATAAACATTAGCACTGATGCACAGCCTCACACTGCATCCCTAACCAGAAAAATGATCATTAAACTATCCAGGTATCTGTAGACATGTGATTGACAAACACATTTCACCAGCTGAAGCACCCAGATGTCTTTGAAATCCAGGTTAAGAATAGGAAGTTGACTTTTCAAAACTGCTGACTAAGAGTGAATGGCAGCATCTTACTCTAAAGCTGTTATCCTTTCTGATAAAGAGATGAGACTCCATTTAGGGCAGGGAATCAGAGGTTTTGGGTTTGTTTTTTTTCCTCTTAACAGTCTTAAAACTGTTGAAACGATCATTTTCACCTTATTGTGCTTTATTTTATCTGGCAGTGCAGCAGCAAGAAGCCAGGCAATCAGCAAATTACTTTTCTTTTTACATGCTACTTTTTAAATTGTGAGTTCCCTAGGATCTCATGGTATTAAAAAAGCAGAGAGGAAAGAGACTCACACGTGACAGAGATCTTTACTGATGGTGACAAGTTTATCTTGTACATAAAAGTGGTTTGCAGGTTCTCAGTTACCGGGAAGAGCTCAGATCAGCATTTGGTGTCTGAAATCCCAACAGACACACACTGTTAGATTTGGGTATTAGGGAGAACGACACTAATCTCCAACAGTGAGTACTGCTTTTAGGGTGACACCGAATTCAGTTGAAAGGCTTGATCCAGCAGTCTGTGGACCCTTTCTGCCTCATGCACCCAAGACCTCTGTAGCCAACTGATAGTGAGAAATGTAATATACACAGTTTTCAACCACAGGTATATTGGCCTGTTTATGGATATGTTAGTCTTACAAACACAAACTCTTTAACTGAAGGGGTGGATCATAAAGAGTTGCATCCACAGATGGCAGGCAGCCTGGGAACTGTCAAAGGGACTCGGAAGAAAGAGTCTGTGGTGATGAGTGTGAAAACCTAAATGAAGGAGGAAAAACAAAATTAAAAAGTATAAAGGATGAATGAAGCCCTAGCTAGAATGTGTATAGAAAAGCAATTGCTGAAATGTCTATTGAAGAAATTATTCCTCACAGGGAAGATTTCTAACAGTACAGGCTAACATAACACCTGTAACCTTATCCCAAGGCACACAGAAGAAATTAGCATTTTTCTTTGTCTTAAAATGTTCCCAGATTTTCTTGTAGCAAGAATTACTATCACCACCAAAAATCACTTCCTAAATGGCATAATACATAGACTCTTTTGAAAACTACTGATGGTAGGAGTCTGTCATTCATGCCTACATACTTATCTATAGTGAAAGAACATACATTATCATCTTTGAAGAGTTGAAACGTTCACTTGTTTACCATATGCAATGTAATTCCTGACTAAATATAAGAAATTCCAAATTTGCAATGTACTCCATCATTAAGGTAGTGATATGCAATTTTACTACAGTTGGGACTTCTAAATAAGGTATAAACCACAGGTTTAAGCCCCAAATTTCAAGAGGATTAAACATAATTTAAGTCTAAGACTCTGCATCTGAAATTTAGTGTAAAGAATAATATCTATCATCTACTATAAATTTGGAAACAATGTTGTTAACTTTGGTCAAATAACTACCTTCTATTTTTTCATTTAATCCTGTGTTAGCTTATAAATACTTGTTATCTGTGAGTTGCACTGCTGCACATCCCATGTAAGTATTATTTTACTCATAGTAAAATAACAATGTCTATTTTTCCTTAAATTAAACATACACACTTTGATGATTTCTGAGCAGGGCACTTACCTAACAAACAAAATCACAAAATCCAAGCAGAGCTTTATAATCCCATGTTTGGAGATACAGCGGAAGCAAAGTAAACTGCAAATAAGGCCTAACAATCTCTGTTTTCCAATGCACTCATTTCTTACATCTCAGATGATCCAGGACACTGGCTTCTCACTCTCTTCTCACTCCTAACGATTTTAAAAATGCATAAGTAGATGAAAACACTTCATAGTGTTAATTGCAGTTTATTAATGTACTCATTCCCTAAGTCACATAATAAACTGAAGAAAGAAGTTTTTTTACATGCTATCTGCAAAGATCATATTGTTGCTGTTGGGCAACTGGATAATATATTTCTACAGCATGAATTCTCAATACCAAGCCTTAACCTGAATCTTTGTAAAACTGTAATTCCTTGTAAAACCAGTATGTTTTTCTGCATATAAAAACTTGCATAACAACACACCGTGCCTTTACTTACCTCTTCTTGAGTGATCCACATCTGTGACAAGAATTTTTGCCTTGAATTTAATCTCTGTTGTCGGAGGAGCAGCTTTAAGCAACCCTAAGGACACTTAAATTGGCACTCTGCAGTGAGGCTCTCCATGGCAGAAGGGCAGCACGTGGCAGCTTCCTCGCCACCATCTAGCCGAGCTCTTGGGGTGTGTGTAAAGGAGAAACAGTGTCATGACCGGTTACAAATTATGGTTTACAAATTATGGATTACAAGAACCTTAAACAGCCCACATGATATGTAACTGCCTTCAGGCTCTTTCTACTTATTCTAGGGATCAAAGGAGCACAGTATTGCTCAAGGCTATGTTTTAGATGGTATTTAGATACTGTAAGATTCAAGTGGTGCTTGGTGAGGTTGGTAAGAGTGTGTAAGCATCTGAAGTCCATTAGCCTCATGTTTTAATCTGTGAACCTACGCACTTCCGTAAGTTCACCCTATAAAGCTATTTGTGTTTGAGGGTGTAAGTGGGTGTACATATGTAGTAGCACTCATGTACCTACTCTTCTGAAGCTATGCTCTTCATTGTTCAGCTACTGCTGAGAAACCTAGCTGTTTGTGTCTTTCAAACAAGTAAAATGGTGAGCAACTATGTAAAATAACGCCCATTACGTTCAGCCAAACAGTCAAAAAGTCAACAAGCTGAGAAACACTTGTCAATAGAAGACTGAAATTTGTTTGTATAAGCTGGCACTTAGACATTTCTGAATCTAATGCTGAAGGCAACCATCTCGCTGAAATGCGACGTGCCGTATGACAGAAACGGTGTGACAGATGTGCAGAGGGGAATATTAACCTGCCAGTTTACCACTGGTGGCAAATTTAAGAGAAGGAAACCAGGAATGTGGAATATTTATAAAGCATTTGCTTGCTTAACTCTTTCTTCTTTTGACTGCCAGAACTAAAGCACAGTTTAAGAATTCTTTTAACGTTTCACCAAGAAAAAGTGCCAGATCTCATTGCTATGGCCCTGACCACCGAGTCCGCTGTGAGAAAAGATTAAATGAAATGAGCAGACAAAGAACACTGTATGATTTCATCTGAACTTCGGAACCCAGCAGCTCTATTTTGCAATTTCAGATCAGCACGCCCAGCACTTTATTTAGTTATAAATTGCTTTTCCATGTTGTTTAAACTACACAGGGAACAAACGTACACTATTCGCCTATGTTCCAATCAAAGTCAACTTCAGTTCTTTCTTGCTCAATTGGTATTTATGTGCTGCATTTCTGCAAGCAATGCAGACTACGGTCTTGGGTATTTGATTGTATTCTGTTTCATTTGTCATATACATTACAATGCCAGTCAGGAACAATTACACAAAATGGTGCAGTAACACTTGGTGGAAACAACACGTCTTTGAATGTAATGGTTATATTGCCAATAACATAAATTATATGCCATGTACACAACACTTGGTATTTGTAAGGCTTTGGTACCTAGGTGCCTCTATTAGGATTAATATGTTTCAAGAAAGCCAGAGCACTGCAGCAATTAATCAAGTTTCCATAATTAACGTAACCTTGATTTAAGCAAATTATCCTTAAAGCTCTCAAGAATCAATGGTTTAGATAAAACTGCTAAGTCAGTAACTATGTGGTCTGTAACTGGATTGTTAAGAGTTGATTTATGGAATAATTTTCATACATGAGTCCTCCCCTCAATACCTTTAAAATTTCAATCTACTCACCAGTCCATACAACTACTTTGCAGAAGAGAGCCCTGAGAATCTGAGTAATGTCTTCTCAGGGCCTTTGGGACTGCAGTCACAATAACCCTTAGAAGCATCTTCTGATATATTTCAATAGGAGTAATACTGGGGCATACAAAACCATCCTATAGGTTGAATTAGCAAAAACATGGTCCATCTCTGGAGCCTGTTACACACGCTGAAGAGCCATAAGTGCTTAAACTTGCCAACCTTTTTAATTAAGAAAAGAGGTAAATATTTTAGGTAACTTAATTAATGATGTGAAATGACATGAACAAGGAAACCAACCATCATCACCTTTCACAGGAAGAGTAAGTGGCAAAAGGCGAAGTAGAGAACCGTGTTCATCAGACTGTCCTGCATTTGCATGATTATTCTCAAAAAAGAAATACAAACCAGGAATGGTAAAACAAATACTACCTGCCTTGAAGAGGTCTGGTAGAAGAAGGGTCTAGGGAAGCAACAGTTCAAATGCTCGCACAGAATGCTGCACAAAAAAAAAAACAAACAAAAATTAGATTGTCAGTATGATTTGATGATCTGTGCAATAAATTTGTTCAGGAATTTCCTCTACAACCTTATAAACATGTGCTTACTTTCAAAGCTAGACATTGCTAACCAAATTGTCAGGTAACAAAGGCTGGCCTGTTGTGTTACAATGGCTGGCACTACTGCTTTGTTTCACCTAAAAGGACTCACAGTCATTATCAAGCAATTCATGAGTTCCAAATTCCTTACTGTTCACACCCACTGAACTCCAAAGAGTAAGAACAAAACAAAACAGAATACAATAGCAAATCCTGTGAAAAGCAGGATGAAGCGTGAAGCACTTCTTTTAACAAGAACAGCAGTATTGCAAAATTCATGTTTCTTTCATAGAGATGTTTATTGAGTGAAACAATAGTTTCACTCCTGGGGAGACCTGGACCTAATCCAAAGTCCATTAAAATAAATGCAATGTCTCCTAGTGATATCAATGGGCATTGTTTTGGGTCCTGTGTATGAAAAGTGACATTTCCTAGGAAAATAAGCAGGCCATGTATACTAGTATTATAGCTGATAATGCTCTCACAAGGGCAGGAAAATGATAAAGAAGCTAGCACAAACAGCTTATGATTGTGCTTACGCATGAGAATCAGTGATAACTGCAAAGAAGATAGGTTACCTTCCTTCCAGCCACACTAGGGTTCGTTGTTAAGCACATGGTGAAATGAGGACTGACAGAATGGATGAAAAATTTCTGAGATAGATGCCATCTATAGATAGATGCTGAGACTGAAATGTGTTTGAAAAACGTTGAAAAGCTTAAATTTAAAAAAACATATTGTAAGCTTTTCAGAAGATCATCTGCTCCATGTTCTATTTCTTCTCCCTTGGTCCTAGATCTCTGCTGCATATAAATGCGAAAGCACATTTCCGATCAGATCAAATCAAACTCAGTATTTGTCTTTCCAGATGCATCTGTGCAGGTTGTTCTATCTGTCTGACATCTTTGCCAGGCAACACAGCAGACTTAAATGACCACAGTACTTCCCTCACATATGTGAGCCTGGAAAGTATGATCAGGACCTCAGAAAGAAATAGCATAGCCTGGGGTGAGTCAAAGTGGATCTCTGACCAGGTAATCTGATGGGCAAGGGTGATTTGAGGACCACTCCTTCCACAGAAGTTGTGGATGACACACATGCTCCTTAAAACCTCAAAATGTGAGGGCTGAAATTGTCAAAACTGTACTCAAAATCACAAAGTCTTCTATTGCACATAGCTGGTTTCAAGGAATTTGAAGGCCCATATGCTGGAATCTCAGGCTGGGCTTTCTTATTCTTGAGCTGGTCTCTTTCTACCCGAGTCTTTTTGAGTCTGTCAGATTACACAACATGCAGAGAAGCTGTTTTATGCATGATCTCAAAACTGAGACACTGAAGTCAGAGAACAGTTAATGAGATTTTCTGTGACATCAAATAGAAACATGAAGCAAAACTCCCAACATTTAACAGAACCCATTACTTAAACTTTATTTGGAATCTAACAGCAGCTCCTTATTGTGTCTTTCGGTTTGTATCTAAATGTAGCGTTCATGCCAAAAGAGCAAAAAGCAGATGCCTCCTTGAATTCAAGTCTTAGAAATGGCTCTGCCACATTTGGTATCTAATGCTGCATAAAGCGTAAAAATAATGTATATGTATTTTGTCAGTTGATTCTAAAATGTATCTTGAAGTACTTTCCAGGAATATCCAAATACAGCATAACGAGCTTAATCCTGAAATAGGATTCACAATGACAGATCTCTAAAAGAAGCCTTGGTTCTTCAGAGAAGATGAAAAAAAAAAACAAAACCGCAAACCCCGCCAAACAGTAAGAAGCTTAGTTTCATGATCATAAACTGCCTCCACTCTTCTGACTGGAGTTTATCAAGGATTTGAGCTCAGCTTTGCTGTAAATGGAGTTATCAGTAAAGCAGAAAGACGCACAATAACCATCTCTGGTAAGAAGAAAGTCTCATCAGCAGAACAGTGAAATGGCAAAGCAAAGAAGAGAATCGCTTAAAGGTGAGAGGCCAAAGCAGAATGGAAGCAGTTCAGGAACATGCTCAACAAGGTAAAGCTCAACTACAGCACTTATGACTGATTTTGTAACTGAATTGAGAAGACAGCTGAAGGCAAGCTGGAATAGTAACGTTAAAGTGAATGACTGCACTCTATAGACATGGAATCGTCTTCGGTGTTTGTAACCATACTTGTCTGTTTAAAAGCAGGTCCCATTTTATCATGCAACAAAACTACTTTTTTGCATTTTAAATTCCATTTCTGCTAAGAAGGCATCATCCATACTGGGATTTGGCAAACAGTTTAGCACAATTCTATCCAGGATTAGATATATTATTTTTAAAAACTGAAGAGATGCACATATAAGTAGAGATGTGCTATTGCTCTTCATGAGTGGTTCATAATCTGCCTTGATGGAAAGATCATTTTATATATTCATAATAAACCAATGACTTTCAAGTGCAGGAAGACATGAAAAAAATTGAGGATTTCAAGCCAAAGAAGGACCTAACTTGTTTCAAGATCAGAAGTAATCAGTTATCTATCACATCGCTAGATAAGCCATGCGGTTAGTATCCCTCATTGCTAAACACATGCAGTTTATTTATAATCTGAATTTCTAATGTTTGGGGTCTTCTCCTCTTCTTTTTTGTGACCTTTAAACAGTCATTTGCTATGAGGTACATTTGAACACTTAAGGTTTACTTGGAAAAAAAATGCAGATTGCAGTTCTTAGGCTTCTAATGAAAAGAACTTTGTCTTTGGAACTTCTACTTTGGATCAGGTAGTTGGCAATTCTTTTCTGCATACTTCCCAGGGGTTTTAACATCAATTAAAGGCAATTTAGGGTTATTTATTTCACATACATAGATAGGATCATACCGACTGCTCTATTCTTGTTCACATACATAGGAATCTTATTAACTATCTTAATTAAACCACTGAAATAAGTGCACATGTTCAGTTGCTATTGCCACTATTTTGCAAAACCTTCACATCACTAAACTCTTCCAACAGTTTGTATATTGAGTTTATCTAAATTTCAGTCACAGGGAACAAAGAGCTCCAATAGCACAGTGACCAGAACTCACCGATGCCCAGAGACATAAGGGGCTACTTTGGAGTAGCTTATAGGCACTGTTCACTTAAGCAAGCAGTAAACGTGGGAGTCAGGATATCAGTTTCCTCCTAGAGAGAGAGAGAGCAAGGGTGTCATTTTGACTTAATTATGACCTACTGTAGTAATGGAGAATTTTTCAGTGGGAAGAAAATCTTAGTCCCCTGTCTGTCACTTCTCCAGCATTAAAAAAAGCAGCGTGATACAGCCCAGATGTCCTGTAAAGATTTGCTGATAGGCATGTCGCACAAAAGCAGAACTGCTGCAATTTTAAGCCAGTCCATCTAGCCCTGCGTCATTCCTGCAACCTTGATACCTACAACCCATTAATCCTGTCATAGCTAGAGGACTCGACAGGAACCTGACTTTCTTCATCCACATCAATGGAGTGTTAACCTTGTTAATGTTAATCTACAGTTAATGTTGTTACCTCCACTACTCCTAAACTCAACAATAAAAAAACGCAGACAGTCTTATACAGGAAGTTTCAGCATCCTCTGAAAAATGACCTTGGTTTTCAAGTGATGTTTTATTTTCCAACACTGTGTAGTACTATGACCTACTACTAGAGTGCAGAGTTAACACCTGCTGCTTTAGTTTTTACGCTAAAGTGATCCCTGTCATCTGGTTTGCATGATGTGTCTGAGGACTGCCCTTTTACTACACATACATAAACTTCAGGTTATAGATGTTCTTTAATTGTAAAAGGAAAACTTAAAAAACCAAAAGGTATTTTGGAAGTTAGCTATTTTGTTTTCACAGATTTGGGAAAAAGAAAAAAAGAAAGAAAAGACATACTACTAAAATTTTCAGCCTTTTCCATCTGCTTTCTGTCTAGAAATAAAGCAAGAACACCTTTCTGCATGGGATTCTGATACTTCCTTCTTCGGTTTTAATGCCTGATAAGGAAAACTGAGATGAGTAAAAGTTAATAAAACATGGAAAGTTATACTTAGAATTTTCCTGACTTCAGAATAAGTTATGCTGGCCAAGCATTTCTCCTTTTGTCAATCACACTTATTCTAGTTTTTATTCCTATTTCTGCATACTGCCCTAAACCTGATTTTTAATTATTTCATTAACAAACTAATACATGTGGAAAAAAAAAAAAAATCCTGAAAAAGAATTTTGCAAAATGAGGTTATATATTTAAACATAAGCCTAAGGCAAATAAAAGTTTGACATCTCTCAAGTCCTACCACAAACTAATACGTGGTCAGCAAATGAGTTCCCATTTATTTCATCATTTGTAGAAGTATACTTCTACAAATTACTTCAAAAAACTCTCATTAGTTAACATTTCCCACATGCACTGAAATTAGATCTGTTAAAGGTAAAAGGAAACATTAAACCTCTCAGGTTTCTGTGTGAAAGCTTTGATAAAAAGCTATGAACTGTTTTAAATTGAAAATCTATATTAATTAAAGGGAAATGCAAGAGACAGGGCAAAGTTCCAGCACAGCAACAGAAGTGACAAATTGTAACAGAATTTGTGTCACCAGGTAAGTGCCTGCTTATGTGTATATAGGTTAATGACTAAGTGCAAAAAGGATTTGTACTTTGAATAATAGAACACTGGAGCAGAGAATTCAATCTCTTAGGTAACTTTCTTCCCTTCAGGAAAGGCAACTAGAATGACACCTTGTGCTGACTCAGAAGTCATGCAATTCCATATAAAGCCTCCACAAAGCCTCCATAATGTTAAATAAAATTATAAGATGTACTACTGGATTTTCTTCACAGGGTATAACGTTGAAGAGATGGTGGCCCATCACTAGTCTGACCCTGATAGTTTTGTTGGCTTTAAGTAACCTCCTGTGATGTCCAGCCCAGTGAAAGCCGGTATGAACACAACTGTTGTTATGATGAGTTACAACAACTAAAACATAAGTCCAGTAAGAGCTCCCATTCACAACCATGAGGATGAACAGCTGGAAAAGGCAAGTGGAACACTCCTCACACAGCTCTCTTGTTGCTAGAAAAACTCAAACTCTCCCCTTTTAATCCCTTTCCTCAGGGCGTCGTATGAGGAGCTTGGGCTAAGTGACAAAGAGCAACAAAGCCCAGACAATCAGCTGGAGACTGGCTGCAAAGGGACTGCCAAAAGGGACAAGCTGTCAATGGAGAAACTGCCTGCAGTTTACCTCTTCCAACTCCACTCTTAGCTGAAGCTTTAAAATGTCCCTCTCCCAAAATGAATCATAAACCTAACCCCAATAACAGGCAAGTGCTTGAGCCTAAAACCAAAGACCTGCCCTATATCAAGATTTCTTCAGGGGAAACCTAGTATGAACTGGGTTTACTTCGAGTGAAAGGTATTTCATAAAGCTCCAGTTGGAGTGGGGCCGAAAAGGGATTGCCAAAGGAAGGGGTAAGCTGCAATCACGTCTCTTCCCTGAGAACTTCTTAATTTGGCTTGTGTACAGATGCTTTTGCTAAGGCTGTCAATGGAAGGCACAGCCTGCCAAGAGTTCTCTATTGAGAAATTCCTCATTAAGGACAGGGATGAGGGACTTGTGCTGAGGCTTAGACTGGACCTAGAGACACCATTTGTCTCTAATTAGGGTTTGGTTTGGCTTAGGGTTTGGTTTGAGAGAGAGCCTAGAGCTCTAGTGGGAGTGGAACTATAAAGTGGCTTCCTAAGAAAGGGGTAGATTGTAAAAAGGGCTGTCCCTGGAGAACAGGTTAATCTAGGAAAGACTGCCAACTACTTGCTATGAACCTTGTTTATCTTCCAATTCTCCGTACAGCACATCTTAAAGTTATCTCTGAGCATTTATTTTGAAGAGAACATTCATTTACAGGGTACACAATGAGCTTACCTTGTAGTGATTCATCATCTTCTCATACTGTTAGATACTGGGATCACTCCTTCTATGTCAGGGAAGTTGGAACTAGATGATCATGAGGTCCTTTCCAACCCTAACCATTCTGTGATTCTGATTTTCTGCAAGCTTTAATTTCTATACACAGTTATAGTATCAAGGGTTGTTTGGACAACTGATGTTTCCTCCTGACAATCTGTGAAAACAATTACTTTTTAACCTAGATGTAGACCTCAGCAGTGCACACTGTTTATCTTGTCAGTGCTTAATAACCTAGAAGGACATAGTTAATACTATGTACCACTACAGCAGGACCACTTATAATCTTACAAAGCCTTATGAAGAGGAAAGCTGCAGCAAGGAATTGCACAGAGGAAAGAAAGTTGCTGAGGAGGGAACTTCAGTGTGCCAGCAGTTTGTGCTCAGCAATTTTTTCTAGCTTTTTCTTACAAATAAATATATGAAGAAAGTTGTTCCCAGCCCCAGTGTAGTTGTAATTTACACCTTTGTGCTGCTATCTGCAGTGAAGAAGGCCCCCTAATAACTAAAGGCTACCAAGCCATGGGAAGCAAAGGTAACTAAGTGTCCTCAAGCTCAAACAGCAGACTTTGATACAAGTGTAGATATTCCCAGAAAAACTGCAAAATTAGTACCTGACGTATTTCCTTACATGAAAAACTAATGCCAAAAGAAGCACCACTGTCTGTATGTTTTCTGGAGAGGAAAGATGTATAAGTCATAGTGGGCAACGAGAGGTACAGCCTACAAGCTTACAGCTGTGTGTACAGAGAGGTAATATGACCGGTCTAGAAACAATGTAGATAGAATCATAGAACGGTTTGGGTTGGAAAGGACCTTAAGACCATCTAGTTCCAACCCCTGTGCCATGGGCAGGGACATCTCACACTACATCATTTTGAGCAAGGCTCATACCCTGTAAAACCAAGTTCAGTGAAAGGAGCTGAGCCAGAAAGTCTTCACAGATGATCCAGTGTGTAACATATTGTTTGACTGGCTTATGAATCATGAGATGATTGACAAGGAGAACTGCCAAATGGATAATTACATCAGGTTTTGTAATATGAACTAAAAATCAGGAAAATATGAAGCCTCACAGAAGCAATTAATAACTTTTATCACTTGTCATGCAGCCTCCATTAAGTGCAATGCCAGAATGTATATTATTTTGCTATAAAGATGCTATAAAGATCAGCATTAACTGCTGCTGTAGAACAACAGTAGTTTGTCCTCCGCACAATTTTCTCCTAAGTCGCTATCAAATTGATTCCAGCCTGATACGAAACATTAATTACACAATGGTTCCCATCATCAGTATGGGAACTGCAGTTCTGCTTTGCTACATAGCTTATTGGGATACTGGAGCATGGGTGCAACAAGATCTGAGTATCAGAAAAACATGATGGTAGCTTTTCTAACAGATTCTTTACAAAAAAAGTATGGTACTAAAAGCCTAGGTTTGTTCAAAATTGTTCTACCTGCAACAGTATTAACTTAGGAATTGAAGTTTTTATAACAGACTTGGAGTAGCAGACACCTCCACTTGAAAAATCATAGAATCATAGAACGGAATCACAGATTAGTTTGGGTTGGAAGGGACCTTCAAAGCTTGTCTAGTCCAACCCCCCTGTAATGAGCAGGGACATCTTCAGCTAGATCAGGTTGCCCAGAACCACATCAAGCCTGGCCTTGAATGTCTCCAGGTAAAGCACAGATATGCTAGTACAACAAAACCTTTGTTCTCAAACCAGTGTCTGTTCAAGGGCTACAGTCCCTACTGTTGAACTGAATCTGTTTTATTTTTTCAATCAGCCTATGCATAGACCTTCTAATACCTCTCAAAGGCAAGGTCTAGTTAAAAGCAGAAATCTCCAGCATGTGTTAGTAAATCAAATCCAGTCATTCTCCTTCTTCATGTTGTCATCACAATTCCCCCATCCCACCCTAACATTTACTTTGGAAATACAGGAAACGCCTTAATTCAGTCCACGGTAAAGGTGTGAATGTAACATTCTAGACAAGGACTTTGATAATTTTACCTTTCTGTTCTAGATAGAAATTTTTGAGCAGACACATGACTTCTAAAGAATGCTTTGCATTAAATTTTATAAGTTTTTACAGGGGAAATAAAAGTAGAATTAAAAAAAAAAACTACAATAAGGAGAAATAGTAGTATGAGTGCAAAAAAAAAGAAACATGCTTAGTGATGCTTACAAGAAACTGAATGTTTCTGCTTAAAGAGGAACAAAAAGGTGTTCCACTATCTGCCTGAATTGTATTAGTTATTATATTCCCATGTCTGTGTGCATTTGCATTCCTGGCCTGCTAAAAATACACTAATTAAAGCTGCTGACCTAGAATTGAAGTAAACGGAGCAATAAACAGACCCTATCTAAATCAGAAATTAAAATGCAGAGCTGCTACGCAGGGTTTCTCAATTTAGTGAGCATGGTAAAAACTACAATATGACAAAAAACCACTTTGTGAATCATCAATGTCATCAGTTCCTCACATGTGACCTGTCTCCAGAGGAACAAAAGAACAAAACACCCTCAATTTGTTCCTGCAGAGGTTTTTTCCCAAGCTGTTACACTGAAATCAACAAGATCATTCATGATAACAAAAAAAATATTGTAAGCCTTGGCCCTTTGGAAGAAAATCTGTGACTTCACATTTTCCATCATCTACCTTGTACCAAGCTCACAGGGAAGCAAATGATCATCTTAAAGCTGTGTCCAAAAATGATCAACCGAATGAACCGAAAGATTCCTGCTGAACACAGGTACAGAGAAAAGGAAGTGGGAACAGAAGGTCAGTGGTTCACTCCATGCACAGCCTAGTTTAGATAATTAGGATTAAAATAAATAGCGTTTTCTAGGAAAGAATGAAATCTAATTTGTAGCCAGAAGAAACTGAGTTACGAGCATGTATTACTGGGGAACCTGATCACTTAAAGGAAGACATGATCATTCAGCAGGATTCGGGCAAACATTCACAGAGTTGTAGTCCTCAAACAGAAGACGTCAATGGCAGAAGGAAGACAAGCCTCAGCATGTGATATGCCGCAATACAAAACATCTTTTTCCACTGGAATACACGGGAGAGAGAACAACAATGGGAAGTGGCAGGTCTTCACTGTCTCAAATGAACAATAGCTGGAAGGAGCTGAAGAAGAAATTCTGTCAGGCACTGCACCATCCAGATCAAGCAGGAGGTGTAAGGGATTAATGGGCAAGTGATTTTTGTGGCAGGGAAATACAAAGCAAGGACTGCAGGAGCAGCAAGACTGATACTTGCTTGTTAGATCCTCATATTTCAAGGAATTTCCAAAGGAGAAGGAACCTCCTACGTGTTCCCAGACTCTCCTGCCTGCAGCACTTGCATGTCACCTCACTCTCCCTAGCATGTGAATTCCAGCAGAATATTACCAAACGCCATAATTCATTCCCTGCTGTGGATGGCTGCTGTGCAACATCATTTTGAATCATGGTTAATCACCACCTGCTTGACCACCACCACTGTGTTATATAGCTACCAGATGGCACCTACAGAAAGGACACATACACCCAAGTCTTTCTTCTCTACCTACTTACTAATGCCATATCCTCCAGACAAAAAGACAAACAACAAAACAAAATGTATTTGGATCCTGTCATTTGTATGCATTTTCCTTTTTTTTTGTTTTCACTTCACTTTATTAACATAAAGCAGATAGACTTATGACTGTGCACTGTATTTCCCTATTAGGATACTAAGCATTTTCTTGAGTTTAAGTACTTGTCCACTTCCCTGCAGAAAACATCCTACATAATAAAAATATGTAGCAAAGAAAATACTATTAGTCAAATGCAGATATTCATAATCAAAATATGTTTTTACACACCATGGCTGAGAATTTCTCTTATCTATGGATCAGTTAAGGTGTGAAATGACATTCAAATACATAAGATTTGAGATTTTCAACATCTAATGCAAATCTTGAAATCAAGACACCAAAGTTACTTCCAGAAAAGGCAGCAGTGGTGCTCTCAGAAAAACACAGATCTGGAATTATTACTGAATATGCAACTAGGATCAAAGATCCAACCCTTCTCAAATTGCCTTCAGAAGAGACTATTCAGCATCCACAAGAGATTTTGAAAATGATGAAGCTGTGATGTTTAATTAGGCCTTTTCTTGTTTAAGATCAGGTGGGATCCTGTAGCATTCTCACAGCAAAACAAAATACACTCGCCACCTTACTTACAGAATACTATGTGGTTTTCTACTTGAGGAAATACTTGAAAACAGTTGAAATCTAGGTGTAAGTAGACTTCTGCGTGCTCTTACTTAAAGCAATATTGCAGAGCACCTTTGACTTCCTGTGAAAATATGTAATGAATGTTCACCTGCCTCTGGAGAAAGTCAAGATAAATGTTAGCCACAGTCTTCAAAATTGTCCTGATGGCAACAGAGCACTAAATAACGCATGTGCAGCCAGGCATGCATAGGAACTTTGGTTGTTGAAATGTAGAATGAAAAGATAGTTAATCTTGCATTTAAGATCTCCCTTGCTCATTGATCACTGATGCTCCTTAGATCAGGCCACTTACTTTATTAGTTTCTGAGATCTTTCAAACAGCCATGATGTAAGTACTCACTTTTATTTCTAGCTCTACCAAGACAGAGAACTTTCAGGAACAAAGGCAACTTTGTTAAGCTATACAAATGGTATCAAAGGGGCTGTCAAGAAATATTTATTTCTTTAATGTGATCGGTACTTTAAAGCAGAACAAGGAGTTAACCATGCGAAGGGACAAAAAAGGCTATTCAGGGTTTCATTCCATACAACACTGACAACAAGGGCATATTCAATGGTATAAACAATAATGAACCCATTAAAGGATTTTTAATTTATTTATTCAAGGTGTACATTACCTGTGTAAGTAACTAGCATGAAATCATGGCTCTGCAATTATTTAACTCATGGGACTATTTGATGGATAAACATCCTGAAAATTAACTGAAAGGAATGGAGATAGAAGAGCCAGAGATTAAAACCCTGAAGGATTTGTATTCTGCTTGCCAGTACTAGGAGTATCTTACAAAGGTTTAATAGTGATTTGACATTAATGGTAATAATAATTTTAATTAAATAGGTAAAATGTTATGTATATAAAATATTTACATATATATATATATGAAAACATTTCAAGATGTAGAATAAACTTTCACCTAATGTAAGAATGATTTCTGCCAATGAAGTTCAAAAAAGTCTGTTATTTCATATTTAGCATTCAGAATCTGTATTGGTGACCCTGGCACAAGAAGTGTTCTAATGGAATGTGTTGATTCCACAGTTACTGGGAGGCATCATGACTACAGAAAAGGGACAAAGTTTGCAACAGAAACAGCAGAAGTGGGATAAAATTTCACTCAAATTTGAAAGATTTCATGTTGTTCAAACACTGGTAACAAATTTCTTCTAAAAATGTATATTGATAATTTTGAAATAGCAGAAAATGCAGTGAACTTTTCTGGACAAATACTGATGTAACCTAAGACCTAACATTTTTATAGTAGTCAATTTATTATTTTATGTCTGGCATTTCTTCAACCCAACATGATGAGCACGAGGCACTCTGACCTATTAAAAAAGAATAGCTACTATTAATTTTGATTTTTCACACCTCTTACTTTCAATCAGTGACTACAGCAGCAATGAAACATCATCTCAGCACAATCTTTTCTATCACGACATCAGCTGCATATTTCAGAATGGGAGAGAAAGATACCTAGATCCTTGAGCCTCCAAAAAAATTTGTGTTTTATTCCCAGACATTGTGCATAGAGGTGGCAAGGAATGGTTTTTATTTATTTTAAAAAAATCCTCTGTTCCTCCTTCAAAGTCTACTTGATCAAACTAAAACATCTGATCAGACATTTACCTTATTTTCTGATTTGAAGGCAGGGGGAGTTACATCAGCACATCTCACAGTTTTTTACTAGAAAATTTTGGGTGCTTGGTAAAAACCAATCCCTTCTCATTTTAAATTTAAAAGAACTTGACTAGAGTTTACACCTAAAGAAAACATTTCACCATTTTGTGTCTCACTCCATGCTCAAAAGGAGCTTTTCATTATGGGCTAAGATGAAGGGCAAAACTCTTATCCGAGTTCCGTGCTGCACAGACAAGCCCCATGGAAAATGCCTGGAAAAGGCAGAATAAAATAAAGCCACACCCAGCGAGTACAAACTGAACAAAAGGACTTTGAAACAGCATTCTCTGATTTGCCTAGTCTGGGGAGTGCTGCTTATTTTAATATTGTGGGGAAAAAAAAATGATTTTATTGCAACTCTGCATGTAGTAACAAAAATAGTACCCATCATTCCAGCAAGTTGCCTGAATCTGCATTTGAAACACTCATAAGTGGAAACACCTAGCACAGTTAAAATCTGCTATTCTTTGACTACAATAGTTCTACACCACCCTTCCATGTACTAAATGTTAACTGGCTTATCACACGAAAAAGTCTCCCCAAGTTAAGAGCAGTTTAAGAGTTAACTGTTACAACTTCATAAATTCCTATGCAATTACAAGGACTGTGTAATTTTTGTTTAAATTACGATTTCCATAATTTCAAGCAAAAGTAACTTCCTCAATCCTCTTTTTAGAACTGCAGTGAGGGATAGGCTACATCAATTTGACTGGAGGAATATTTTCCTTCCCTCGAGATTGACTTCCTACACATCTCTTGCAGAATGATTCATAAGGCTCAGTCATTTAGAATTGCAAATGTGGTAAGGGACTTCTTGTCAGTTGACAAATGGGTGTAGTCACATTTAAACAGAGAAAGAAAAGACATGAAATCATACCATGAAAGAGATTAAACTTTACTAATTCTATCCATCACAACTCCAGTACTCCACGCTCACTCACTGTTGTGATTACTCTAATTAAGGAATTTCACTGCCTTACTGGGTCTCTCAGTTCATACACATGTTGTCAAAAGTGTATCTTGCCAATTCATGGTAGAAGGAACTGAGACAGAAGCCATTTTGGCTCATGAAATGCACTGAAGTAGCTGCCTGCATTGCTTCTGCTTGAAATTTTGCTGTACAGTGTATTTAGTGTGCTTGGAACAGCAATGTGGAAATGTCATTCACCTGTCATGTAAGCTGAACTTAATTATACTGTAATTGCACATCCGATACACTGAAAGGGAAAGGAAGCAGCATTTCCTTGTACTTACCATGAAACAAACATGTATTATTCATTCACCTAGTTACTATACTGAAGTACCATTACAGGCATTACCATTTTGCTTTAAGGTACAATGAGTAATTTATTAAGTAGTGATGCAGATGTTTATAAAAATGCTTAACTGAAGTTCTGAAATGAACTATTGCAAAGAGTACATGAGACTGACAGTCTAATTCATGGCCAGATAAAATTATTACGGTTGGGTAGGACTGCTCAAAGGAAATTTTTGCACTTTTTCACAAGCCAAGGTAAAAATAAGGTGTCTGTCATTAAGGAAAAACAAAACCACAAAAAACACCCAACAACAAACCCCCAAACAAAAAACAAAAATTCTCCTGAAAGTCTGAAGAAATAAATGATCAAAAGTTCACAATACTTTGTCAGCAGTTGCTGATTTGCTGAGGGTGAGCACTACCTCGCGCCTCCTCTCACCATTTCCCTATCAGGATTTACTACGATACTACAATTTACTCCAGAGCATTCAGAGTGGTCTCTACTGGTGCCACTTCTGTAGCACTTAACAGCGATGCTTCTGCCTCTGTGTAGTTGCTTCTATACCCTCCCAGTGATTCCCATGTAGTATATGGTACTGTGCTGACCACCTCTCCACAGCTGAATCTTATCCTTAGCAATTGAATATTGTTCTGCAATAGGAAGGACTTCAAGGAAATCACAACAGAGATGACAACAAACAAACAGGAAGGAAAAATAAGCAGCTGAAAATCAAGCATACACATAACTGCTTAGAAAAATTAAAGGATTTGAAATACCGCTTTGTATTTGTACCATAAATATCCATAACTAGTTCAGCATGCACTATTTCATCTTCAAAATAAGTTGCCTCAGTTTAATCTAGTCCATCCTGAAACAACCACTGTAGAACACAAAAGAAATATTTAAGATAGAAATACTAGTGAAGATCAGCACAAAGAGTATTAAGCAACTCTCAAAACATTACTAATATACCTACTTTCATCTTAAAAGCTTTTATTCTGCCTATTTGACTGAAACAGAAATGAGCAGCTGTACTCTAAGTGACATGACATATTCAGTTGTTTACGTCAGAAACAACAGGCCCTGCATAAATACGTATGCATCCTTTTTCTAAAGGATCCCACAGTGCTTGAACGTGCCACAGGATCAATGTCTAGCCAGCGTGGAAAGAAGCTGCTCTTTACAGAAAAACTGTTCAGAGAGTGAAGTGAGAACAGCCTTGACTAAACATGGACCATGGATCTGCAGCTAAACAATGAGTCAAATCCAACCTTTATGGAAACTTGTAATCTGTATGTGATGTGCAGGGCGTTACGGATGGTGGATACTCACCACCATGAGGTTAGTGTTTCCAGTGTACCAGGAAATTTAAGTGTCACCCAGTGATGAAATATTCCCTTTTCTACTGTTATCACCCTCCAGCGGAGATTTTTCTCTTCCTTTTTATTCAAGAAACTAACTAGTCACAGAAGAAAAAGGGGCCTTGCCTGTTGGCTGGCTCCTCTACTTTAAATCTTACCTATATTCATGCTGTCAGAAGACCTCTTTTAGTCCAGTTTGAGAGAAGTTTTCTGCTAAGATGTAATAAGACTGTCAGACTAAAGTAATTTTAAACAAAGCATCACAGAGTCAGCATACAGAAGAAAAAATGACTAGGAAAAATACCTTAATTCTTCATCAGCTCACTGCAGAATTATTTCCCTTTAAATTGAGGGGGAAACATAAGCAGCTTTATTAGTTTGAATGCCACACGAAAATGCCTGAGCAAGCTGTGACAATGGACATTTCCAAACAATTTAGACACTTAGTATTGCAAGTAATTAAATGACCCTCTATACCTTCCCCCAGACACACATATAACAATACACTTCACCAGATAAAAAAGATTTTTCTATTTATAAGAGCGAATGTAAATTGTGTCAGGGCTGAACAGGATATTCACACTGTCGACCTACTCAGTTAATACACATGCCTGAAATAGATCTTTGCCTTTTGTACAGTCAGTGACACCTATATGGCACTTGAGTGCTTTGACTCATCCTCTGGGAAGTCCACTGATAAATCCAAAGGTCCCTAACTCAAGCACCCACTTTTATTGAAGTGGGCTGAAAGAGTAAGGTCCTTTTCCGTGATACTCATCAAAGCTCATCAAAGAACACTGGGGTTTTGTGTATTGCTGATTTTCCACCTTAAACCCTGTAGGCTTTTAGACAGACAGAAAATTTCACAGAACTTGTAACCAGCGTTCCAGAATGTAGCATCTGTAGTACCCCATTAGAAAGACAGTAAAGTTTCAGGATCAGAAAACCAACTGCACCATAAAGCCTGTCATTCCAGAGCTAAATCACAGTAACTGGAAGATTTACCCAACAATTCATGTTCACTAAAACAATCTGTAAGCAGCAATATCCCCCTGTAGTTAGGTAGAGCTTGATTAGCCAATATCCTTCAATAAAAACGTCAGAATATAATTCAAGTAGTTAGACTTTGGGAATTCACTGTACTAGTCCTGGTCTAGAAGTAACACATAGGAACCTTTCACTATGCACATGGTAGTTCTAAGACCCTGACAATTATCTTCCAGTCTCTGTACATGAGATGAATTTTTTATGACTCACCCTATTTGGCTTGCCCACATTTATTTTAATATCTAAAGTAAGTAACTCATTCAGGACAAGAAGAAGGATTTACTACAGACTTTGCAGTACCAAACCAAACAGAGCAAGCAATTGAGCGTGGGTTGTTTGGGGTTTTTTTTCCTCTAATGGTATGATACATATGCAAGGTTTCCCAGTGCTCTGCATTGACTAATGAGTGAAGCGTCAATTCAAGCATACAGAAAAGCTTCATGCACTCAACAGCAGCTCACTCAGGGGCATCAATTTCAGAATTTCTTCTATTCAGAAGGAGTAAATACAATATATGTAAATACAATATGTATATAATCAGTTTCAGATGAGAGCTTAAAGTGGAATGCTGGGCAAAAGAAATGCCTTTAGGTTTTTTCAAAAGCAATGAAAAACATTTAATAACAAATTCTACAGGGGTTAAAAATAAAGAAAATGCAATCCCACTACAGCATTTGTTAATTCAGCACAGTGTGCTTATCTCTGTGCCCAGTCACTTTACATCTGCAAGGGTGTAGAACAGAGGACAGAAATTCCCTTCCCATGCTTCTTTAAACCTGCAGAAATTCCAGAAATGCAAATGTGAGCGTGCTTTCCTACAGCTGCTAAATTGTCACAGCTGATGTATTCTTTAATGATATTAGCAGAGTGAACTAAAGCTACTGCTACTCCCTAGTGCCCACTGCTTTCTCGACATTCAAGGACAGACTTACAATCTAGGAAAGCATCAGACAGTGGGGGTGTGAGCTGGGAATAGTGCTATGTTCTGAATGTTGCCCACTCTTGCAATTTTATCATGCATTTTTAAATAAATTGTATGTTTCCCAGCAGTACAAATACTTGTAGTATCTGCATGTAGAAAACTGCAACTACTTGAGATTTGTGGTTTTCATTAAGAAAAATAAGAGCAGTTGTAATCTCAGATCAACAGGACTAGTAAGAGAGAAGGGCTAATGAGAGAAACTAAGAAGGTATTTCAAATTACTGTTGAATGTGGCCTGTCTCACAGTTCCACAGAGGGGTGCCATCCCATGGATTATTAATTTCTGTGAATGGCAAACTACAGCATTACAAGCTCCACCTTGGACAGGGAACCACTTAGAAAAGGTATGACACATGAGACGAAGACTACCATAGACATGAAACCCCCTTATACAGGTTACTACTGTGACTCTAGGCAAGGGGACTGCACTTAACTAACATTCTGCATCAATGCTGAGTTTAAGTCATCACTTTAAATCAGATTTTCAAAAGACAGAGTAAGAATGACTTAGCAATGTGATTCACAGCTCTCCCAAAACACACTTAAAACTTAAGATCATTAGTGCCTATCTAGCAAAACTCAGTTTCTTTCTGATGCTGGTTTAGTAGCAGGTAAATATTAAGAGTGTTAGAGCATGAGATTTCTCTCACAAGACCATGCAATATATTGAACACCTACCCAAGACACTGATTTAACCTGTTCCTAAAGGTATGTATAGATCATATCACACTATGTAAAAATTTATAGTCAATTATTATTGATATTTTCTTGATAACACCTAGTTCCCTTCACTTGCAGGTCCTCCAAGCACTTTACATGTACAGTGTTTCTACTTACAGAGGAGTAACATAGAAAGCTCTAAATGCCAGGGGGATACAGAACTCAGAAGCCATTAAACAACTTCTCTTTCTTAGCCTGCTAGGTAATTGTCTTCTTCTTTTCTCAGAATAATACCTTATCATCAGGAAAATTATCCATTCAACTACATATATGATATAAAAATCCAGGGCATTTATTACCTGCGTTTATGAAACTTGCTATGATGTTATCTTCTATTCTGAGTACTAGGACTACAGTAAATACTGCAAGCTAGGACATGTCCTTTTCCTTAAAGGGACATGCTCACAGCACAATGAAAGTGATGGGGTTATTTATTATTTTTACATCAATGGAAGATGCAAGAAAACCACACTAAAGAAAAGAAGTATCTATTTTTAAACTTTATTATAATTCTTTTTTTGTCCTTTAAAATTCAGTACTTTGCTTCCTTCAAAAGAGGCTGCACATATACTAGTTATGGTGTCTTCTTTAAACTGGGCTTATAATTTAGAATATAAACTGAGAATACGTGCAAACTGGTAAAAGACTCTACTCTCCAAGATTATTTAGAGGACCAGTATATTTCTATGACAAAGACAAACTCTCAAGAGACCAGTTTTACTTACTATTTCCTGTCTGAGTTGCAAAAGACTCTTGATTGTCAAACCCCCACCTTCTTAGCTGAGGCCAGTCAAAACATCTTGACCTTGATCCTCCTTACTCAATAACCCTGCCTCACAGATGTACCTCCTCGCTGTTGCTTCTTCACATTTCAAAGACCACATGGAAAACAGTCTCTCAACAAAGTTCTTTTCTACTGGGGTATCTTAAGCATGTCTTTAATTTACAATATTTTATCATCACTGCAGCAAAAACCTCACAGAAGGCCATAGCAACAGGCTGACTTTATGTGCAGAGTGATCAGTCATCCACGGCTGGAAGGAACAGTGAATCCCAATCTCATTTCAAAATCTAATGAAGTTGGCCTCTCAAATCCACTTGATATATCTACTAATACTAGGCTTAGATTGAAATTTAAGATTTCTTCTGCAAGACTTGTCATGATCATTTGAATTGGGGTTGTTTAGAGTAGAGGAAAGGTTAAAAAGGGGAACATGGTAACGCTTTCAATGACACAAAAATCTGCTGGAATGAAGGAGGAAATCAACTTGGTCTTCAGGTCCACAGCAGAGAGGGACAAAAAATGAGCACTGATTAGACAAAAGACACAGGATACCGGTTTTGATTTAAAAACAACTCAGTTTTCAGTGACTAAAATAACAAACTACTGTCACAGACTGCTTGTTGAAGTCCCAGAAAAGGGAATTTTTAAGAAAAGGAGAGCCATTTGTAGCATTAAGAACGGAAAATCCATCAGTTCCTTGCAGTTCTATGCTTCTCTCATTCTGTCAACTTCTACTTACATAGCACATATTACACAATCAATCTAGTAACGTATTTGTCTCAAAATACTTATGGAAAGGCATATTCATAGACAACTACAGAGTTGAAATGAGAAAAAAAGATCAACTTGGCCTTATAATGGTATTTGAAAGACAAATGCAATAGAGTTTAATCCATTTCCCCAAAACTACTGGAGCATTTAGGGTGCTGCTCTTTAATAAACTAAAGCCAGCTGTGGGGATTGAATGGCTGTGATAGGAACACACATTTATTTTCCTTTGCAGCATTCATTATTTATTTCCATTTAGTTTACTACCACAGCACTAAGGCACTTCTGCTTTCTGTGTTCTATTGTCTTGTTACTACTGGGACACCTAACCCACTGACTTCATTGACTGTTTTATCAAGGACTGACTATTTTATTAGCATCAAGAGTCACTGTATATTCCCCACTCAGTTTTACAGTCAAGTATCCCAGGGCATTGGTCAAGCCCCAGTGTTGTTATAGCTGCTGGAGAACTACTACAGCTTACACACTGTAGGAAACAGAAAGAAGCTGGAATAGGAGTGGGTATTAATCACAAAGCTCTTCTGATGTTTTTCCATTTTCTCTTTTGGCCACTCTTTGTCTTGTTTCTAATGTCAGAACTGAATAAGGAGAGAATACAGGGCTACTCTGACAGCCCCATGCTATCCGGAAATGCAAGCATGTTCCCTGGAAGGTCATTTCTATCCCTCACTGTAGGCATAACTACAGCGGTGTGCTCAAAGTGATTTAAAAATAATTATTTTAATGAAATGGTTACTGCTTACGCTTTTGTTAGCTGTTCAGATTTTGTGGGTTGAGAAAGTATTGCATCATTTAGCACATACAGCAACTAAAGTGAAAAGTGGCTGGTTATGGTAAGGAAACAAACTACTAACACAAAGAGCAATAATAATTTAGCTTGTGACTGGAAAAAAAAAGTAATTGAAGACAATGATTGG